CCCTATTATTTCGTGGGTAGGCCGAGCCAATCGCAAGCAATTGTGCCGATGACTGGCACTTCGTGTAGCCAATAAAATTCTGAAAATAACGATATCCAGCTTTAAGTAGGAAGTCCATGATCTACCAGCAAAAAAACACATCTGCGTCAAACTACGGCGTGATGCAGCAGCAGCCGCCTGCCGCCTGCCGCCAAGGGGTGGTGCTGTTTTAGAAAAAGTACGCTAAGACATGCACAACAACCTGTGTAAAATAGTCATTTTTCATGGTATTGGTATGAAATTGAAACTAGGACAAGGTGAGGCTTTATGCCGTGTCCCTACAGTGCTTTCCAGATAATAAGTCCCAGCTATAGTTGTCTACATGCATTTGTTAGCAAGCATTTTCAAGCGGAAATGAAAAGTATATTAGTTTTAGTGTCTTTAAACTTATATGAATCAATTACAATCAATCTGACCTTTGGGTTAGACACTCCAGAGTGTTATCTTTCAGAGAAACTCAAAACCAGGCATACACTCCAAATGGTTCAAGAACTGCATTGAATTTACTTTGGATATGCCTTGAATAGGTGTTTGACATGAATTTGACAGGAATGTTAAGAGGTTAAAAGACTTTCTAAAAACCTCCAGGTGCCTTTGTTGTGGTGCAGCTAAACTGTTATGCTTAGAATAACACTGCTTAAATGGAGACGTTGCTGTTCTTCTGGCACTTTTGACAGTTTACAATGAGCATTAGGCCTATTACCACCTACTTGTCGAGTGGGTAGGGTCGACCCTTATTTGCATGTGGTCTTCGAATTACAATCAGATTTATGATCAGGCTAGCACAGATGCAAATATGTGCAGTGTGTGCTAATGACAAGGGTAAAGGGGGTCTTTTGGACTTGTGGGTGTAGCACGCACATCCAAGCATACCACCCTGCCATTCATGAACAATGACACTGGCAGGCGCAACAAACTGGTCGCCTGAACAGGGACTTGAACCCTGGATTAAAAGTCTGATGCTCTACCAGCACTTTTGACAGTTTACAATCAGCATTAGGTCTATTACCACCTACTTGTCGCGTGGGTAGGGTCGGCGCTTATTTGCATGCGGTCTACGAATTACAATCAGATTTATGATCAGGCTAGCACAGATGCAAATATGTGCAGTGCAAGTGTGCTAATGACAAGGGTAAAGGGGGTCTTTTGGACTTGTGGGTGTAGCACGCACATCCAAACATACCACCGTGCCATTCATGAACAATGACACTGGCAGGCGCAACAAACTGGTCACCTGAACAGGGACTTGAACCCTGGACCCTCAGATTAAAAGTCTGATGCTCTACCGACTGAGCTATCCAGGCTTCACAAAGACATGCCTGACAAGGAAATCATCACGCTAAGTCCAAATCCCAATTTACATACCACTACACCAAAGAGGACTATGTGGATTGTGCACTTTCTTTGCAGTTTGTATTCAAGAAATGTTTTATCTTCACCAGGCAGTCATAGCACAATCTCACATGGTTCAACACGTTCTGAACTCTAACCTTTCGAGTGACACCAAATCCGACCCAATAGGAGCTCACATGTCACAGCCTTCAATAGCCAACGAGCACCCGCACTGTAAGGAAGGGCCAGCCCCTATTATTTCGTGGGTAGGCCGAGCCAATCGCAAGCAATTGTGCCGATGACTGGCACTTCGTGTAGCCAATAAAATTCTGAAAATAACGATATCCAGCTTTAAGTAGGAAGTCCATGATCTACCAGCAAAAAAACACATCTGCGTCAAACTACGGCGTGATGCAGCAGCAGCCGCCTGCCGCCTGCCGCCAAGGGGTGGTGCTGTTTTAGAAAAAGTACGCTAAGACATGCACAACAACCTGTGTAAAATAGTCATTTTTCATGGTATTGGTATGAAATTGAAACTAGGACAAGGTGAGGCTTTATGCCGTGTCCCTACAGTGCTTTCCAGATAATAAGTCCCAGCTATAGTTGTCTACATGCATTTGTTAGCAAGCATTTTCAAGCGGAAATGAAAAGTATATTAGTTTTAGTGTCTTTAAACTTATATGAATCAATTACAATCAATCTGACCTTTGGGTTAGACACTCCAGAGTGTTATCTTTCAGAGAAACTCAAAACCAGGCATACACTCCAAACGGTTCAAGAACTGCATTGAATTTACTTTGGATATGCCTTGAATAGGTGTTTGACATGAATTTGACAGGAATGTTAAGAGGTTAAAAGACTTTCTAAAAACCTCCAGGTGCCTTTGTTGTGGTGCAGCTAAACTGTTATGCTTAGAATAACACTGCTTAAATGGAGACGTTGCTGTTCTTCTGGCACTTTTGACAGTTTACAATGAGCATTAGGCCTATTACCACCTACTTGTCGAGTGGGTAGGGTCGACCCTTATTTGCATGTGGTCTTCGAATTACAATCAGATTTATGATCAGGCTAGCACAGATGCAAATATGTGCAGTGTGTGCTAATGACAAGGGTAAAGGGGGTCTTTTGGACTTGTGGGTGTAGCACGCACATCCAAGCATACCACCCTGCCATTCATGAACAATGACACTGGCAGGCGCAACAAACTGGTCGCCTGAACAGGGACTTGAACCCTGGACCCTCAGATTAAAAGTCTGATGCTCTACCAGCACTTTTGACAGTTTACAATCAGCATTAGGTCTATTACCACCTACTTGTCGCGTGGGTAGGGTCGGCGCTTATTTGCATGTGGTCTACGAATTACAATCAGATTTATGATCAGGCTAGCACAGATGCAAATATGTGCAGTGCAAGTGTGCTAATGACAAGGGTAAAGGGGGTCTTTTGGACTTGTGGGTGTAGCACGCACATCCAAACATACCACCCTGCCATTCATGAACAATGACACTGGCAGGCGCAACAAACTGGTCACCTGAACAGGGACTTGAACCCTGGACCCTCAGATTAAAAGTCTGATGCTCTACCGACTGAGCTATCCAGGCTTCACAAAGACATGCCTGACAAGGAAATCATCACGCTAAGTCCAAATCCCAATTTACATACCACTACACCAAAGAGGACTATGTGGATTGTGCACTTTCTTTGCAGTTTGTATTCAAGAAATGTTTTATCTTCACCAGGCAGTCATAGCACAATCTCACATGGTTCAACACGTTCTGAACTCTAACCTTTCGAGTGACACCAAATCCGACCCAATAGGAGCTCACATGTCCGTTTCACAGCCTTCAATAGCCAACGAGCACCCGCGCTGTAAGGAAGGGCCAGCCCCTATTATTTCGTGGGTAGGCCGAGCCAATCGCAAGCAATTGCGCCGATGACTGGCACTTCGTGTAGCCAATAAAATTCTGAAAATAACGATATCCAGCTTTAAGTAGGAAGTCCATGATCTACCAGCAAAAAAACACATCTGCGTCAAACTACGGCATGATGCAGCAGCAGCCGCCTGCCGCCAAGGGGTGGTGCTGTTTTAGAAAAAGTACGCTAAGACATGCACAACAACCTGTGTAAAATAGTCATTTTTCATGGTATTGATGTAGCACGCACATCCAAGCATACCACCGTGCCATTCATGAACAATGACACTGGCAGGCGCAACAAACTAGTCGCCTGAACAGGGACTTGAACCCTGGACCCTCAGATTAAAAGTCTGATGCTCTACCGACTGAGCTATCTAGGTTTTCGAAGACATGCCTGACAAGGAAATCATCACGCTAAGTCCAAATCCCAATTTACATACCACTACACCAAAGAGGACTATGTCGATTGTGCACTTTCTTTGCAGTTTTCAAGAAAGTATTCAAGAAATGTTTTATCTTCACCAGGCAGTCATAGCACAATCTCACATGGTTCAACACATTACAGTCTGACACAAAGACCTTTCAAAAGACTTTCTGAAAACATCCATGGAGCTTGTTTTTTTGGTGCAGCTAAACTTTAAAGGTTAGAATAACACTGCTTAAGTGCAGACGCTGTTGTTATTCTGGCAATTTTGAGTTCACAATCAGTGTTAGGTTTATGGCACTTACCCATTGCTGGTAACAGCTCAACTTGACTCTGCTCGACTTGTTTTTGTGCCCTATCCTCTGTTTTCCATTGCCGACATAATACCCCCTCAGTATAGTTAGTTATTGTGGTGATGTGGCACAAAACTGCCATGACGTAATCTTCATCATGACATACACACTTTGGCCCAAACCTCTCCACACATGTACCTCCAGAGACGGCAGCATGGTTTTGCGTTTTGCCATAATAATAAACAAGGTAATAAAGTACATAGAGTATCTTTACAGTTATTATCTCACATTCTCTGGATAAACTATTGCAAAATGGTAGGTTTCTTCGGGACACCCCATCTGGCGGGTGCAATGATTATGCAGTGAATAGTGACAATTCTCTCTGACAAATCAGGAGCCTGCAGTGTTTTCAGACCTTGTTGTGTCGCCACTGCTCGCTTGGAACCTCGACTTTGGTGACACCAAAATTTCTACAAGGTAAACATCTACCAGGTAGATTCTGCCCAATGGGGAGTCCTAAAAAGGTGATTAGAGTCAAGGCAAGTCGAGCTGGTACCATCCGGTGAAAAACTGACTTAATGAATACACCATCAACTAGGTGGATAGGTTACCAAATGTATCATCTTTACTTCACCAGGCAGTCATAACACAATCTGGCATGGCTCAACATGTTTATTACAGTCTGAGACAAAGACAAAGACTGTGTGTGTATGGCTGAGAAACTATGCTTTTTCATAAATTGAGTGAACTGATGCTGTAAGAGTGACCCATCATACCCCTTCTGCGCACATTTCTCCCCTTGAAAATTATTTTTAGAGTTAAGTCATGAATAAATGCAACATGTATGAAATGTATTAATATTTATAAACGGGAGGAAATGACTGATGTTCCAGATGTGCACATGTAAAGCAGATACCTGAAAGGACAATATAAGCTCAGTATAAATAAACACACCTGCACACAGTAACCTTTCCTGTATTTTGCTGTCCCTGTCAGATCGAACAGTGATACTGACGAGCCCCCAGGACGTGCGGACGCTCAGAGGAACCAGCGCTCTGCTGGACTGTCACTTCCTCATAGACCCTCAGCTGCCTAATCCCCAGGTCGTCTGGAAGAAAAATGGACAGAAACTGCAGGCATCGTCACCAGATGACAAGTAAACACACACAAACACACACACACATACTGAGATGTTTCATTAAAAAAAGAAACTCTTGATATAACATATGTTGGTAGGTTGTTATAACTGGACATTTCCATATGTTGTGTAAATGAGAAAAACATCCAGCCTAGTATATTATATTATATTAGTGTTACTAAAATACTACTACTATTGCTGCTGCTAATGTAGCCTAACCCAGCTGCCTGAGTGTGAAGCAAGGAATGACTAAAAGATTTATGCTAAGTTAATCAAAATTTTATTGAAATTATTGACTTGCAAAAACAGGCAGATGTCACAGTGCTACCATTTAAAAAACTGATGAATGTTACTTACACTTCTTCCATGCAGTTTATAAAATACTTATAAGAAAATAATGCATTTAAATGAGAAGCAGAAACTTGTAGCAGTTTAATGGTAACAGTATCCCATTAAACTAATACAAGTTAACTAATTTGCCAATTAGTAGTCCAGCCGCTAAAATAATAATGTATATAATTGTGTACATGTGTGTGTGGATCTGTAGGTACACTGTCCGTGACAATGGCACCTTGAAAGTGACTGACATCCAAGCAGACGACAATGGTTCTTATTCCTGTGAAGTCATCACCGACCTGGACAACATAGAGGCCAGTGGCTCCATCACTGTAGTCGGTATGTCACTGTGTGTGTGTGTGAGAGAGAGAGAGAGAGAGAGAGAGAGAGAGAGAGAGAGAGAGAGAGAGAGAGACTGACACATGTGTTTATGTAAAGGTGTGACAGTTTAGTTTTCTGTTGGGCCCTCAGCACCCCCGGACCCCCCCAAAGGTCTGACTTTATCTGATGTTGAAGACCACAGCCTCACTCTCAGCTGGATCCCAGGACACTCACACAACAGCCCCATCACAGGTACTGAACACACACACACACACATACACAACCCATACAGCAAAGACTTGTTCATTATTATTATATTGACTACAGTGTTAGTGGAAGAAGTACTCAGATCTTTTACTCAAGTAAAAGTACAATATATATAAGTACTCCATTATAAGTGAGAGTCATTAATAATGAAATATCCCTGTTTTCAACATTCACTACTAAACCTTCCAGGTTTTCACCACAGACAAACAAAGATTATAATATTAAATGTGCACTTACATAGACATTTATCATGTTCTGTCCCACTCATTATTACCTAACCTGATATAACATCATCAACAATGCACCACAGCCATGGTGCGTGCTGAAGCTCATACAATATGGTCCCCCTAAACTGATCACCAAAGCAGTGATCAGCCTCTGACAAATGTTTGCACTATTCATTAAACAGCCATAAACACAGAGTAACAGAGTGAGCTGTGTTAAACTGTCCACCACCTTATTAATATCCAGGGCTCTGACCAGATAGTTAGATGCTAAAAAACGAATTCTGCACTTAGAGCAAACAGGGTATCGAGCAACATCGAGTTATTGTTAGGCCAGGCTGTCTAGGATTCAGGAGTGGACACAGAGGCACGGTTAGAAACAGGTACAGGGGTTTTATAGAACAACAGGTAGGAGTGGTGCTTTGAAATCCTCTGTGAGGCTGGGGCTGAGTGGGCAGACAGGCAAGAGGCTGGTCCAAAAAACAACTTGGTTCTTCCAGAACTGAAGCGGGTATCTGGAGCAGAAGCAAAAACATGCAAATTCAGACAAAGATCAAAACAAGAGATTCAAAAGGCAGACTAGGCAAAACACTCTAAAGCTGGCCGTAGCAAAGGTTACTACTTGGGTAAACGGACGATCTGGCAGAAACTGGTTGGAAAGCCGGGGTTTAAGACAGGAGAGGTGATTGTAGAATCTGCTGCAGGTGAGTAGGAAGCCACAGGTGTCCTGATGAGGAGAGAGAACCAGGAGCGTTATGCCCACACAACACACGACAGACAGGTGACAAAACAAAAGCATAAGGGAGAGGGGAAACAGACAGAACACACTAGGACTGGGGAGGCAGCAAGACAAATCATGACAGTTATCCTTCTTTAGATATTAAACAGTTTCCACCAATAACTTTTGCACTTTCTACACCTTAAGTCACAAAAACAACTCAAGTTGACCTTCTTACAAGCACTCAGTCATTCTGGTTTGTTTGCTACCAACATTGCGCCATACCGTATGTGGGGACTTTGCTATAGCCTGTCAGTAAAGGGGTCCCTCTGGCTATCCTGTCAGTTTCCTGCTCAGGGTCCATAGTTATTTTACAGGATGTAGTATTAACATCATGGCGTCTGTCTCAGAGTTCATCGTGGAGGCCCGAGAAGAGCAGCACACAGAGCAAAAGAAGTGGCAGTGGGAGGAGTGGAAGAGAGTGCCCGGGGCCTTCAACCATTTGGAGCTGACCCTCCACCCATACTGCACCTACCGCTTCCGGGTCATCGCCGTCAACGAACTCGGCCGCAGTGACCCCAGTGAGCCCTCAGAACACCACAGCACGCCACCAGCTGGTAAGTGACACCAGGTGCTGACACAGTTATGATTTGTAATTTTGATTGAAAGTCTGTAATGTTTTGATGACATTTTCATTAAAGTCCCACACTTGTTTTTTCTACTTTCAGTTAAGTTAATTCTTAAAGAAATAATTCAACATTTTGGGAAATAAGTAAGGGGTATCTTGTATCTGTTTTCAAATTAAAATCCCTCTAGTTTCCATGCAGACTCCCTTTATTTCCTCACAAAGCTTTTATTGAGAAACATTTGCATACTGTTGTGGAAAATTCAGTCACTTGCAAGGTTCTCATAAAGTACTTTTAACTCTTGCCATCTTGTGCCGCAGGCACCAAGAGTTTATCCACCATGTATTAGGGGCCAGCCTTTATTTGTTCATGGCCCCCAGCCAATGTTTGAGACCCGGTTTATTTGAGAAAACCCAGTATTCACTTTTTTGTTAAGAGTTCGTTGAGAAGATCAATGGCAGTCTCATGTTAAGCTGAATGTGAAGTTACACCCAGGATAGCTTAGCTTAGCACCCAGCAAAGAAATAATCAGGCACATAACCCCCCTATAAACCACAACTTGTTTTGACACTTTTAAAGTCCTGTTTGGCTGTTTTGTAACTGTTGGATAGTCTTTGTACAGAAAGCAAATACTATTCCTCAGCCTATCTCTGTAAAAGTGTCTTTCTCCCTCTGCCTCCTTCCTCAGTTCCTGACCGTAACCCCACTGGTGTGCGCAGTGAGTCCATAGACCCAAAGACTCTGATCATTGCATGGGATGTGAGTACTTCAGTTTGTATGCACCTGTGTGTAAGCATGCTCTGATGCACGCCAAAATGTGTCTAAATTAATTGTATGTTCCTGTGTGTCTTTGCAGGAGATGGACAAGCGGTTCCATAACGGCCAGGGCTTCCTGTACAAGGTGTCATGGCGGGAGGCTGGGAGGAGCAGCATACACTGGGAAAATGTTGATGTACAGTCTCCGCCGGTCGTTATAAACAACACAGGAACGTACACGCCGTTTGAAATCAAAGTCCGGGCTGTCAACTCACTCGGAGACGGGCCGGAACCAGAGCCTGAGATCGGATACTCCGGAGAGGATGGTACGTCACCATAACACTGTGGATCATTCATTCTAGTGTCAGAGCCAGAGATATAGTGATGAGAGGGCAAGTCTGAGCTAACATCTATGAGCTCACAGCATCAGGCTCATGAAACTGTGCAGTGGGCAAGTGATTAAATACACATAAACACTGTGTATAGTAATCATCAATATGCAAATATAGCTGTGCAAACACAATCAATTTAGGTGCAAACATCATTACAAAGAATGATGCGACCAAGCACTACACACTGGTTAACAGTTAAATTAAGAAGAAAAAAATAAAATAAACTGGTTATGTGGGTACACTATATTCTTGTTGGTCATTTTCCCCCAAAAGGAAAACAAACAAACAAGTTCAGTTTCAAAACATATGCATGAAATTTAGCACCTCAAATTTCCATCTGGACTGAAAGTTCACTGAGTGAAACGTCTCTGGTGTCAAGCAGACTCTATGAATCAGATTAAATTGTAATTAGCTGCATCTACAGCCCGTTCTCATTCCCTGAGCGTCAAATATCTACGCTTTGTCACGTCCTTCGGCGTCTGGAAACAACACACATGGCAGCTTTAGCGCAATTTTTCAACACACTGGGTAAAGGCCTTTAATGCCATTGTTCAACGCTAAAAGTACAACTATAAATGACTGGAGAAAGTCTGGAGGTGGTTCCTGTTGGATGGCTCAGAACTGGGCTTTCACCCAGGGGACCGGTTTTTGTTTCCCACATGAAACAAAAACTTGACATTGATTCCTTTTAGCGTTGTTACGTCAGTAGCATTATTTAACTTACATAATTTAAGTCACGTAAGTAACGTAGTTATTTTAAGCCAGACCTAACCTATAGTTTTGTTGCCTAAACCTAACCGATCTGCGACATTTCACAACGTTAGCACTAGTTTTATTTTGAAAGTGTAAACAACCATTGCATATTTATTCTCGCTAACTTGATCGCGGAGCCCTACACGTACAACAATGATGCTTAAGGGTACCCGGGGCGTCTTGAGAAAATATTCATATGTGATGCCCGCACGTTAAGTATGCAAGTAAACGTCTCCATGGCCAATAAGAAAAAAGTCAGATGTTTTTGAAAATAGTGAAAAATTCCATCTGACTAGATGTCGTGTCTGATCTGAGTAATGCCATTTCTCCCAAATTCTCACATATAAAAGGAATGAAATCATCTTACAATAAGATTGCTTCACAGTGTATCCAATGTCTCTCTCTTTCTTTGGAATTAAAGTAGTAACTTTTCAACATGAATGCTGTGGTCTGTTGTGATCTGGTTTATGGGGGAAAGCAGGCGTTCAAATATGCAGTTAGACAGTGAGATAGTTGCTGCCAGTTGTCTGAGAAAAAATGTCTTTTGGTCAAGACTCAAGATCCTTAATGAGGGATGGATAGGCATTCAGTGGAAACAGAACTTCATGCCAGTGTGAGGGAAAATTCTCCCCATAATTGTTATCCTGCCTTGCTCTCTTGCTTTATGCATTGAGAATAGAAGAGTCTTATGCATCCAACATTGTGAAATCATGCTTAAGTTGCCGGGTAACTAAATATAAGTAAACTTAAAGTCCCTGCAAGTCATATTGGTGTAAGGCTGATGATGGCTCGTGCTTGCAAGCATTGAAAAGATCTGCTGAGAAGAAACATTGAGTCTTGACTCTTGTTACTTGAGTACCGACTGCAATAGACAAGAACAGATTTTTCAGTTTCAAGTTTTAAGAATTGGGAGTGCGCTCTCTGCTGGAGCCCTTTGAGTTAACACTTCATGTAATTCATTAATATCAATAACCCACTCATTATTCAAGTGGGTGCTACTGTCACAAATTTGGGTGGCGCAGGCCCATGCAACCCTACAGGGTCTGACTATTTCACTCAAATGACAAGCTAATTTATTTAGTAAAAATAATGTCTGGAGTAATTTATAGTAAAAATACACAATGTAAACTCATGCAAGAAGGATCACACAGTAGTAGCCTAGAATATAACACATGTTTTCTTAATTTAAATAATTTTGCTGTTTTTTGAATACCGGCAAGCTCATCATCTTCCTCTTCTCACTCTTTCTCTCAGAGCCTGAGGAAGCTCCTACTGGAGTTACAACAACCGTGATGAACAGCACAGTCAGAGTCAAGTGGAACGAAGCCCAGAATGTCCGAGGTCTGCTGCTGGGATACAAGGTACCGGTTCCTCTCTTGTCCTGAGCAAGAAAGGTAGCTGTGCTCTCTGTTGGCTCATACCACAGAAACTATGACTTAAAATTAACAGAATTCAACAACATTTTGTGGAGAGTTCGGCCATGAGTCAAGGTGGTGCATATAGCACCCCCATGTGGCCACGTTTAAGCAATTTTTTCTGCCTCCCTTCTTTGTCCCCTCTCCTCTAAGGGGATTGCCAAAATTTTATTATCTAAACTTTTGACTTCTGACATTTTAAAGTTTTGCCTTTGGCAGTCGCAATTTAATAACAGATAAATACACCTTAGTTAGTTTATTAGCAAAATGCTTAACTTTCCATCCCTGTACTAAGACTAACAATGACTGACAGGATTTGGGTGTTCTCCAAAAATCATAATGTCTATATCCAGATGCATATTTAAAGTATTTCTGTTAATTAAATTACAATTTAAAACAGAGGGTTGTGCAGATGTATGCTTTGTCTGAGAACTTCCTAGTTATCCACAGTTCGTGATATGCTTTCTAGTAGAACTGCAGCAATCGTTGATTGAGAGAAAAAATGTTAAACAGCTTCTCAAATGTTAAAATATGCAACTTTTTCTTAACATAATTATAAACTGAATATCTTTAAGGTGTGGACCATTGGTTGGACAAAACAAGATGATGCTTTCTGCTTTCTAAAGCTTTGTAGACCAAATGATTATAATATTTGTTATGAAAGCCCCACTTCCCAGAGACACCTTTAAATTTTGTACAAATTCTGTTGATAATGATGTAAAACAGAGAAAAGTGTAAAGCATCACCTTTAAGAAGCTGACACCTGAGAATGTTTAGTATTTTTGCTTCATAAAAGACTACAATCGCTAATTAAAATTGTTGCAAATGAATTTTCTTTCTCAACTAACAGTTTCAGCTGTTGTAAATGTACAAAAGCAAAAGATAAGCCATACTATAGTTCCATCACTAATCCCTCATTGTTGTCCTGCTCGAAACACTGGTTGACCTGTACATTAATTTAATTTTGTCTGCCTCCATGTCAGCTCTACATCAAGAGGTTGGGTCCCCAGGTGCAGAGGGAGCGGAGGTCTCTTGGAAAACAGCATCAGGGGAAGGAGAAAGAGGGGAGATTTGAGCAAGGGCAGGAGGGACACAGGGTGGTGCTGGTACCCAGCATGAAGACCTCAGAGGAGGTAACAGGGCTGCAGCTGTACTCTCGCTATGAGCTGTCTGTCACTGCCTATAACAGCAAAGGGGAGGGCCCTCACTCCCCCCCTCACCACTTCAGCACCCCAGAAGGAGGTGAGTTTAAAAGCAATGTTTTGTTTTAAATGACTACAGTAAGTACTTTCTTCTGGATGTATTTAGCAGATATGCTAACTGCTGTACGCATGTGTCCCATGTGTCCGTGTAGCTCCTGGTCCTCCTGCGTCGTTGACGTTTGAGAGCCCATCAGAGAAATCGCTGATTCTCTACTGGACCCCTCCAGTTGAAACCAATGGCATGCTGCGGGAATACATGGTGCAGTATCAACGAGGTAAGGTTTGCAACTGTAGAAAACTTATTTGGGTGGGATGAATTTATATTCTATTTCATAAAAAAGGCAAGGCATAAGTCATGTTTCCATTGGATTCTCCTCTTGACTTGAAACTGCCAGTTTAAGAATTATAGTCTAAAGGAGTAGAAGGTGAGGCAAGGCATGGATGGTTCATGATGAAGCAGGGGATCAGAATTGTATTTAGGCCCTAAACTATTCAGTGCTTTAAAAACCAACAGCAGTATTTTGGAATAAATTATTTGACAGACAGGAAGTCGGAACTGGAGTGATGTGATCCACCTTTTTGGTCTTAGTGAGGACTCGAGCAGCAGCGTTCTGAATCAGCTGCAGCTGTCTGATGGATTTTTTAGGGAGCCCTGTAAGGACGCTGTTACAGTAGTGAGAGAGTCCTTTAATCCTTGATATATTCTTCAGGGGATAGTAGGCTGACTTTGTAATTGTCTTAATGCGGTTCCTTAAATTCAGGTCTGAGTCCATGACTACACCAAGATTTCTGGCTTGATTTTTGGTTCTTATTACAGATAGAAGCTGAGCACTGACTTTCAATTTTGGCACATCCAATCGTTGACCTCCTCATTACAGTTACTCAGCGCTTGTATGGGATCCCGGTCCCCTGGTGAAATGGTTATGTAAATCTGTGTGTCATCTGCATAATTATGGTAACATATTTAGTTGTTTTTCATAATCTGAGCCAGTGGAAGCATGTAAATGTTAAACAGAAGAACCCCAGAATGGAGCCTTGTGGGACCTCAACAAGAAATTTTTGTTAGCACAGATGTGTGATTACCTATAGACAAAAGTAGTCCCTGTCCTTTAAGTAGGATTCAAACCTGTGCTAGAAGCATAAAATAGAATAAAATGGAAATGCTCAAGTAAAGTACAAGTACCTCAAAAAGGTACTCAACAAACCTACATCCCACCACTGCTGACATCTTCCTGGTTTGTGTTTCCTCTGTAGAAGTGGAGACCAGAGACCACCTGTTGCAGATAGAGAGTATCAATGATCCCAGTGTGACTCAAATTGAGTTGGACAATCTGGACCCCAGCAGCTATTACATCTTCAAAGTCATAGCACGCACCAGCGCTGGAGATGGACCCGCCATCACACGGAGGGGCGCCACCCAGCTTGAAGGAGGTGAAATCAAAGAGATATTTTTTTTTACAGCCAAGTGCTTTTATATGTTATTGCCTTACAATTTGAATTGATAGAATTTAAACTTTAGCCGCACCTTTCATAAATTCCTCATTCCTGTCCCCCTTCCTTTCTCCAAAACCTCTAACTGTGTTTGTGTCCTTTCAGTTCCTCCATCCAACATCTCCATAGTTTCCGGTAACACATTACTCAACCTGAGCTGGGTGCCCGGAGAGCGACGCAGGAACCACGCCTTCCACATCCGCTACCTCAGGAAAAGTGGTAAGACTAGGGTGGGAGGAGGAGGGGGGGAGAGAGAGAGAGAGAGTGAGAGAGGAGAACACAAGGTGATGATGGAAGAAATGCAGCTTTTACTTTTCTGCATAATGACTAAGAGAAAAATGGAGGAGGGGGAAGCAGAGAAGGAAATGGAGACAAAAGAGGATTCCTTTATCAATTATTAAATGTGCACATGTGCTTTTAGGCTTATCCATTTACAAAGTTACCTGCCTTCCAAGATCAACACGTACCTGAGGCAACGACGAACGCGTGAAAATATTGTTTGGTAGAAAGACAGAAGAGGAAGAGAGTTAAGAAATGTTCATGAGGAGAACTTTACTAATCAATGACATTCCTGTGTGTGTGTGTGTTTGCTGCAGCCGGTGGTCAGTGGGAGGAGTCAGAAGTGGTGAACTCCACGCAGGGTTTCTATTCACTGACAGGCCTCCAACCAGGAACTCAGTACCACCTTGTGATCATGCACGGAAACGACACTCAGTGGGAAGATGAGCATTGGACCATAGGACCAGGTATTTGTCTAGAAACATGCACAAACACACAATATTTGGATTTTCCTAACTTGATACTGTAAATTCTGGCTGGAACGTGAAATTACCTGCAGCCTACTAACAGAGCTGGCATGTAAATTGTCCACAGCACTAATTCCATCAGTACACGGTGACGCAGTTGAACAGTGGAATGGAGGGAGAGACCTGAGATAATGTGTGTGGTGAGAGGGACAGGTGCATGCTGGTGTTCTGAAAACCAGAGGAAGTTGTAGTTTAGCCGCTGATTTGGCCCTTTATCACAGTCAGTAGTTGGAGCTGCAGCAGTGGCTGCGACACACAGCTCACACACAGCTCATGGAGGTGATTATGGTAAAGCAGCTGCAAGCGACCATTTGCCAAGGGCATCTACAATCTCCGAATAATAGAAAAAAGACTGTCCTTATAACTCCAGAATATGTCTTCATCAGGTTTTAAAGATTTCTTTCTGTATGTCCATGGGTACACTGCAAACAGAAGAGGTAATAGCTCACATTTAGCACACATTTAACGTGCCAATTTGTAAACAAATACAAGCTAAAAAACAGAGCTCAAGTAGTAACCCACAGCTTAGTTCACTGAAAAATTTAACTGAATGTCCTTTAATTACATTACCTAAACTTTAAAGTATCATAATGCCCAGAAAAGAATAGGAGTGACAAATTGCATTATTATTAACTTTGCTTGGGTTGATGGGGGGTGTTGGTATTAATCATTTTCTAGTATTGCTGATGATCTCTGTCCGTCTCTCAGCGCCGACGGAAATGCCCAATAGGTTCCCCGCCCAAGGTTGGTTGATAGGACTCATCAGCGCCATTTTACTGCTGGTGCTGATACTGCTCATCCTCTGCCTTATCAAACGCAGCAAAGGCGGCAAATACGCAGGTAAGACAAACAACACACACACACACACACACACACACACACACACACACACACTGAGGTACAATCAGACTTTTGTTTTTTTCCAACAGTGAAGGACAAAGAAGACAAAGAGATGGACTCAGAAGCTCGTCCGATGAAAGATGAGGAGTACAGGTGGGTCTTTCCTCACCCTGAGTCATGTAATTGTTTCCAAAGGGAAACAGAAAAGCATATGAACATTAATAGTGTTTTATTATTATAAGGAAATGACAAAATGTATTTGAGGAAATATTAGAATGGCTCTTACAGCAGCTGGCAGGCTGAGCTCTGGCAGGTGAATGTAGCTACATGTCATGGGAAGACAGTGTGTTGTTAGTTGCTGGACCACACCAGCATCTAGCCAGAACAAAGGGATGTTTGCAGGTATGTTTACATGCTGTTTAATGTGCTGCAGCTGAGCAGCTAATTAGCTTACTTCAGTGTCTGTGGCTCTTGTGTTGTGTAGCAGGCTGCTGGCAGTGTGACTGTCTGCTCTGCCGCTGAATTCAGGGGGTTTTATTGACTGTATGGGTATAAGTTGTCCATATTACAAAGATGAAGAACTAGGAATATTGCAACAAATGAATGCAAAGAATCATCATGAAACTTAAACATATATATAAATATTTTTCTCCATTTCTTCATTTTGGTTTCTGACTTTTTTTCACACACATTTCTCACAGTTTGAGAGCTTTACAGAGCAGATATGTGAAGTGTAATTTATGTTGGACTTTAATGCAGTGGGGTAGAAGTATAAAGTAGCAGACAATGGAAAAGTAAAGTAGCCTACCTACCTTCCTAATTGTACCTATATACTTATAGGTACTTATAACTTATTGTAAGTAGTCAGTATCATGAGCTTTTCTCCTAAGTGTACTGAGATTTATGATGATGCTGTGATAGTCTGAACACAAGTTTCCTCTCAGGAAAGGCCAGTGTGGACTCTCCTCTCCATTACAGAGTGCACTGCTTCTAAGAGGAAAGACAGGAGCTTATTTGATCGACTCAGTGTCCGGCCTCTGGCCCTGTGCTGCTTTACCTACTTTTGTAACAATGCATCACTGATTCAGTCAAACAGGAATCTGAGCGGTTTAATTTAAAAATAAATTACTGTTCCATCCATTTCGATATGTTCTCGATATTTTTAATTTTTTTGTACTAATGTTTTTAGCTGCTTGCTTCATTAAGCCGTACAGCTCTAACACTCCCGGCTCTCCTTCCTTTTTACACTTTTCTTTCTTTCCTTTATGCTGTGCCTGCAGATCCCTGGAGAGGTGAGGAAGTTACCTGCCTCTTTAACTCTCACATGCATGTGTTGCTTCTTGTGCCCATGACTGTGTTGTGATGGTGTGTCATTTAATTTAATTAAACTACCACAGTGGTAGAGAGAGCCCGACCTTTATTCCTAATTTCCCCTGTTCCCCAGTTAATGCACACTTAACGCTTCCTCCTTGTTCACTCTTTGTCTTCGCACATTCAGTATAAAGTCCATTTCCACTGCAGTAATTCTGTCAGTGCAACAAGAGTCCTGTCAGGTGTTCCACTTTGCCTGTTTTCCTCAACAATGTTAAGCTACCATAAATTAAAACTCAACACTTACTTCTGAATTTTACTTGCAGCCTTCATTTAATAGATATACTTTTAATGTAAAAAATCCAACAGGAAGTCCTGGGTTTTGTTGACAGTTTAACATTGATCAGGAGTATGACAAAGAAGAGCTGGAATTAACCGGAGTAGGAAACATTTTCTCTGTTAAAAAAGACAAACCCAGAGCAGCAGAGTGACGAGAATTCCACGACTTCGTTGTTGTACTGATGAAATTAGTATCATATTATTATTAAGTTATATTATTATATTTATACTAAATTAAGTATGTGGGCTGTTGTAGTAAGGTAGGGGAGACCGGGGATTGTTGTAACACTTTTGACATTTCTTTCTGTATCTTGGAGCTCTTTTAAACCAGTATGTTTAAAATCTGAAACTAGTAACATTTGTGCTATTAAACGGTGTGGCTGTCATCTCTGCAACACAGACAGAAAATGTCTCAAACACAAGGAGTTAAACGTTACAATGCACCCCATAGTCTGGGTTAGTTGTAAATACACTGTGGTGAAATGTAATGTATGCAATAAGGAATATGAGAATAAACTGATTTGTAAAGGTTTCAAGATTCAACAGTTAAATTATAATTTTATTTTTACAGTAACAGTGACATAGTAGTGAATATAATAATACAATTTAACAAACTGTGCAAATCTGCACCAGCTGAATATTAGTGTGAGTTTGTGCTTGTTTGTCTTGCACCGTCACAGTGGTGATCGACATATGGCACTCCAGGAGCGCACATGTGCTCATGGGCCCCCAGAGAAGCCTACAGGTCTGACACTAACATTTGAACATAATAATAAAACAATTCATCATTACTGTGTGTGTCAGACTCATCCAGAAATTCAAAGAAAACATATAAATAGAACAAAATATAATCTTGGTGTAGGTTGTAACATTTACACTGCTGTAACTATTTTAGACTCTTGTAGCCATGACCTAGCTTACCTTTCAGCTAAAACTTTGCATAAAGGATATCTACATAGACACAAAAAAAACATGATGTTCGATGAGTTTAACTACAAAGCTGAAAAAAAAAAAATGAAGCAAAATGTTTTTTTATCTCAAAATAATTTTTGACCTTATAAAATTGGCTGTGCTGCCACAGTTTGCTACTTTTTCCCATGCAGAATAAGGACTAAACTGAGCATGTGCAGAGTGAATCAGGTGATTCGTAACTTGTTTCTGATTGGAGAAACCTGGATGTGTTACAACTGACCTGGGTTACAACCACCCCCGGTCTCCCTTACAAGTCTCCTTCCGTGTGCTTCTATCAGGGACCGGCCCTTTAGGTCCTTGCTCGCCATGGCCTATTATTTGAATTCCAGCTTTTATATGAGAGTTTACAGTAATTACTGACGGTGTTTCTCCCTCTGTTGTCTTTCAGTGATCCAGATGAGAAGCGCTCAGACAGCCAGCCGTCCCTGTGCCCGGAAAGTAAGCTGGGCAGTGACGACTCTCTGGCTGAATACGGGGACAGCGTGGACATCCAGTTCAACGAGGACGGCTCTTTCATCGGCCAGTACAGCGGCCGGGGGCCCGTTCCCCACGGCAACGAGAGCTCTGGTCCCGCCTCCCCCGTTAACGCAGTCCCGCCCCCCCCCATCGCTCCATCCATGTCGAGCATCCTGAACCGGCCCACCTAGACGCACACATTACAAAAACACACACATATACACTGCCTGCCTGCAACAAAACACAAAGGGACAGACCACTCCTGACTCCACTGCCTGTGATCTTATTGTGCAAGAATACACACATACATACATACATATACACTGTCTCAATACATTCCACAGGTTTATGCAGTGAAGATGTTTACAGGATGTCTTGCCTTTTCTACTACAAGTTTACACACACACACGCACACACAAACAAACACACACCTACAAGCAAACACATACAACCAGATAGCCCTTCACTCTTCTATAAGAAAGAAAGACAGAGGGAGGTGGAGCCAGCTGCACCAGCTGTTTGTAAATTCAATATTAGCCAAGAAAGTCTTTACTAAGTCAGAATGTATGCATCACTAAATTAAAACAGGTTGCACCACACAAACCTGTCGTAACGTGGAGAGAAGACGTTGCTAAATATTCACATCTTGTAACTCCCGGATGTTACGGCTGAGTAGCTGATAACCAGCTGAACAATTTGCCTGCTACAAGAATAAAAAACACATACAAAAGTTTATTTAACTTTATGATGGATCTCTGGCTGAAACATGATGCAGTGGGAGACTTCCTTGTTTCCATTTGTGAATGCTTTCTGATTGGACAGTGCCATAGCGTTTTACTTAGTGCCTGATTGACACATTAATAAGTGTTATACTAGCTCAGTTTGAAACTAACCAGTGGTTATCTGTGAGGGTTCTTAGTCATCCAGGTCAAAGTTACCCAAGGAAAGTTAAAATCAGGGGCAAGTGGTTCGAGAATCTTTAACCAAGTCCAGTTGCCCTTGATTTCAACCTTCCTCGGATAACCAGTAGTTACTAAGAGCTTATGAAAGACTTAGCGTGTCTGAAATAGTGACAGATTTACAAACAGCTGGTGCAACCCGGTCCAGGTGAGGAAGATGATGGCTGATGTAATGAAGAGTGAGGCAAAAATAAAGAGGGGAAAAAGTCATTTCATCCTGTACAAACATACCATCTCTTTCTGTTCCTTCATTAATACATTTCATATCATATATCAATGTCAAATTCCTTTTTTATATAAACATCATCATTTTTAGTTTTAGTTTTTTTTTACTTTTTGTGCATTATTGTCAAACATCACCACTATGTGTCTTTGTTTATGCTCTTTGCGAGCTATTTATTTGTGTTTGCGTGCATGCGTCTGGGAATGATTTAGCTATTTATGATGTGTGCGCGGACGTCAGAGTGGCTCCCAAACCTGAGATGCATGCCCCTCCCTGAGGCATTTAAAAACCCTTCCGTTGATATTTAGCATATGAGTTTACAGACTGACTGTTCGTGTGTGCTTGTTCACGCTCTCCGTCCCTGCCCTGTAACCTGCAGCGATGGGAGATCTGTTGCCTTAAGAGAGTCCAGTTGGGCCTCCTCTCCTCTCTCTTTCTGTCCATCCATCTGCCAATCATCCATTTCTTCCTTTTCCATCATCCTCCTGTTTGCTCAGCAGGTGATATGCAGGACCAGGATGTTACGGTGGCCCTGAGAGCTCATAGTGCCGCAAACACATGCAAAGAGAGAACACAACAGAAATGATTTCAATTCATGTCATGGACACAAGCAAACATATTCAGATATTATGTAATATTGTATGAACTAGTAGGCTAGTAATCAACAAAAGGCTAACGTTGCATCCACAGCAAATATCTGCAATAATACCTGAATGTGCAATCAGAATGTGAAAACTAATAACCAACAAAATCAAACAAACCCTGTCAACAAAAAGTGTGTCCCAGGTGTGCTTAACACTTTCGGGTGTCCCCTGGAAGCAGTTCATTTGTAACTAATTCACACTGACTTCTGTGCGACTTGCAGCATATTTCTGCATTTTTCCCCTAAATGCTGCACACTTGTCATGAAATTGTTGAAGCTGTTTTCTCTGTATGTTGCAGTGCATTGAGCTTTCTGGGCTACCGTAGATTACAAAACAGAAAGACACTCCTGTGCACGCACACACACACACACACACACACACACACACACACACACACACACACACACACACACACACACACACACCATGCATACACTTGTATACTGATGCATGCATAAAATGGAGGCCTCTGGAAACCACATGGAGGTCCGGTCCTCTGTAGCAAAACCATATGGGACAGGAGAGAGGGAGGATGGAGGAAGAGGAGGACAGAAAAATATGAGGAGGAGGAGTTGACAGAAATAGAGAATCTGATGTATCATTCTCTGAATGTAAATAGAACCTTGAGATTGTCATTTTTTTTATTTCCATTGCTTCTTTTATAAGATGATCAAATTGTAATTGTTTTTTTTTTTAAACGATCTGTTGCTGTGTTTGATTTTGTACTGCGGCGCTCCTTGCTGACCTGCCTTTATATCATGCCACATTCCCACCCCTTCCCCCACCCTCCATCAGCTCCTCTTAGCTTTTCCTCTTGTGTAGCCCAGACACATTTAGAGAAGACTAGAATCATAGCGAGAACAACCACCCCTCCCTTCATCGAGTTTCTTTATAGCGTTTAGCGATGCAGCAGATTATATTGATTATTAAGAAGTCATGTCATAAATGTCAACATTTATAGACCCGGCCAAGGCAGTGCTGTTTAATGGTCATGGGCGAGATGCAGTCGTGGATGGACCCGTACTGGAAATCAATCTTAATCCTTATAGGGTTTCTTTTTGTGGCTACACTGTGCCAGACAAACTCAGTCTGACATTATGTGAAGCAGGATTACCAACCAAGGACGTCCCATGTGTTTGGACCCAGAGCTGAAGTTTGTTTTCAATGTTTGGGGAGCAGAGAGGGACTGTAGGGATGAGCCTGAGGAGTCATTTCACACATCTTGAGCATTATTGTCAGCAAATCTGAAAAAAACCCAAAGCTAACAATGTTGCTGTCTGACTTTCCTGTCTGTGGTTCTCAGCCTCAAGCTCAGTGGTTCCTACTGGAGGCCTAAATATTAAAAGATCCCCTCCACACATGTTTTAAGACATAAAAATACTCTGCTTTGAATAATAATTTGTGTCTGATGTGGTTTTTCCACAACACGTTTAATCAACAATTAGCAAAACACGTTTTTTTTTTACTTGAGGGCGTCACAAATATATAGTTTCATTTTTTTAAAGGCTCAGTAATTTTCTAAAACCGCTGCACACTGTAGTTTCTAACAAATGTAACTTACACATGAGGTAATGTTGCATTTGTTGGGGACTATTTTCGGCAGCGGATGAATCTGCTCTCCAGTGAGTATTTGGGGCAGCAGGATCGTGTATGTGGGACTGAGTCAGAATAAACTACAGTGTGTGTGTTCATGTTGATGAAGGAACATGTGACCCAGTGCAGCAGTGAGGCTCACAGATATACTTGTTATTAGGTACATTGACTTTGTGTCCTCAGAACAACATTCTGTTTTCATGTGAAAACAACTTGCGCCCTCATGAGCGTTTCAGTGTGGTTTTAGTCTGTCCACAGTGAACCACCAATAGAAAACCAGTTAAATCTCGTCTTCTTCATCCTCTTTTCAGCCGGCAGACAACAAAACGGCATCACAGCCAACATCTGGTGAGGAGTGGGACAGACAGACATAAATCGGTGTTTTATAACTGCAACGGCATCTGGAAAAATCACTATGAATCCAGGTTCATGACAACAACTTCTTCAGTTCTTCCTAATTTTACTGCCACGCAACCCCCGACCTTCACTGGGCAGGTCACATCATCATTTTGCAAAAGCTGTGTTTTCTCCTCACATGCTGAAACGCACCAAGTCGACGTTTTAAGATTTATACACTCTGGAAACGGCTGAACCGGAGAGAAAAGGTTTACAGATTTAGCCAGCTTAGTGTGGGCGCACTCTTAGCGCGTCTGATGTCGGAACATGAATTAGCAGGATGTTTACGGGATGTTTACCTTTACTTGCCTTGTTTTGTGTTGGAATCAGCCCGTCAAACAAAAAGACACAGGACTATTGAAAAAACTGGCCTGCTTCATTAATCTCTCAGTGTAATAATCCGCCATCCAACCTCAGCATGTCGCCCTGTTAAATGTCTCCCAGGTCTGACTGTACAGCCCTGTCTGTCTGTCTGTCTGTCTCTGTTGCAGCCTTCTTTTATACATATAAACACCTTTGGGGGGGGGGGGATTAAAACAGAAAAAACATTTTAGGTATAATAATTATAATACTGCTTATAACAACAACATCAGTGCTATTATTGTTACGATGACGCGGTCAGTATTGTCATCAGTAGCGATATGATCAGTATCACAGGATCTAGCAGGGACATGATTCTACTGGGGATGGGAGTGGGGCTGCTGGGGTTTGTATGTTTGTGTGAAGTGGGGTTCAACACTCAAACACACACACACGAAGGTGGTGGGGAGGGGGGGGGGTGTACTGCAATATTGAGGGTTGCTGATGTTGTACCTGCTTGTTGCATTGTGCGCTGTACTGTAGCTGACAAACTAACCCCAGACTGTCAACTAATAAATAAACATGGACTACGCATATCCTGAACAGACCTGAGCCGGTGCTTCGTCTCTTCTGTGTGTGTGTTCTTGTACGTGAGTCTTTATGAGGACCAGCGTTGGTTTTCGATTTTGTTCATTCTTTTGTTTTTTGTTTTTTTTACGTCAGCACACAGACTTAAAGATCTTGGACTGCCGTTTGTCTGAAGGCTTTGACAGCAAACTGTACCTTTCTTCAACAAAGTGTCCAAGAGACAAACAATAAAACCATCTCAAAACTTAATAGGGATCTAAAACAAATGTCTCTCTCTAAAATGAACTAAATGTAAGTCACTTAATGCAACAGAAAGTGACAGAAACCTGAGTGTACCAGAGGAGGAATGGGAGAATGTATGTGAGCTACAATAAAAAAATGTAGCTTTATGGAGAGAGTTTTGTTCATTACTCCGGTTCAAAAGACTCATTTTATAAAATCCTCCAGTTGTTGGAGAGGAGAGTGTGGGTGTTTTGACCTTATTAGATTCTTACTACAGATGCATCAATGTCAGGGAAGCATTTTACTGTTGTAGCAGCTCGAGGTGGAGCTAGTTTTAACTGCTTCGTTCAGTACAGTTCAAAACCCAAACAAAAGGCTGTGAGATAATTACAGTTTTTTTCAGTTGCTACATGCATTGGTCACTCATAACACACAGACCTAAAAAACACTTACAACAGGGAGCATTATACATAAATGAAGAACATTTATCTCTGAAGTTGGAATGATTTTTCACATATTTCATTTAATTTATTGACTTTACTAAACTACGTGTAAAAAGAATGAAACAGAAATGCACTTGTGAAAAACAAAAAGTTGAAACACAAATTCCTAAAATGTCAGTGCTGCAATGCAGTTTTTCTCAGTGATTTACACAATAACACTTGAGACACAATGACCACAACCTGCAAATCATGTACCAACCCTCTGAACCAATTCTGCTGAAATACAAGCACATTTCCTGCTTTACACTCAGACTGCAGTTCTAAACCACACTTTGTTGAAAACGCACAGTTCCCTATGCACCATAGACGTGAACATACATTTTACTGTAAATATTCTACTAAGAATTTTCTGTTTTTAATGTGTTTTTGGGCACATTGTGTTGGCGAAAAGTTGAAAAATGTGCTGCAAACATATAGTGTTGTGCAGCTGGTGGGAGTGTGAATGAGAAAATGGTTCATGAATGTTGGAGAAAGTGGTCACTGAATGCATTTTGTATGAAAGCAATGAAAAATGATTTACCACATGCACTTTTGTTTCTCTGACTGTGTGAAGACTTTTGACAACGTGACTTCAGTTTTGACTGATGCATGTTAGCAACTGTGAAAAAACTGTAATGGGAGGAATGAAGAAAAAACAAAAGTCTGTTACATAATTCTTTTTCATTAATATGTACCTTTTTCATGAAATGAAAGTTTTGCCCATTAAGGCCTTAAAATGAAACTGTGAGAAGTCTCAAAGGGAAATCTCTTTGGGGGGAACTGCTAAAAACCAAACTCAGAGCCTAAAATCTCTGCTTTAATCTTTGACAATGTGCTGTATTCGACAATGTTATTATGTCTTTGAAGATTCTCAGTCATCCAGGTCATAATTATTAAGGTTAAATGCAAGCGCCGCTGAACTGATTGAAGATACTTCAAGATGTTTCGCCTCTCATCTGAGGTTCTTCTTCAGTTGTGACTGTCAAGGAATCCCAGCTATTTAACCTCTGTGGGAATGTTAAACTCAAGATCACGCTCAGAAAGATACTGGTCCACCTGAAAGACCGCACACCCAAACACCAGAAATGCAATCTAGTGTACACAGAAGGACTAACACTTCAGGTCAAGACGTAGCAGTTTACCTACATTTGAAGGATAAAGGCACTCTCTTTCGATGATAACCATGTACATATTTTGAACAGGGAGGACAGGTGGTCCGAAAGAGGGGTGAAAGAGGCTATTTCCACCAGAATAGAGAGACCATCCAGAGGAGGAGGGCTAAGACACCAATTACCTCTCACCTTCAATGCCGCCCCCTAATCTCTTCCCAGGAGAGATAATAAACACTCACATTTGGTCTCGTGACAATGTCAATGACAGTCATTCAGACTTGGCCCTCATGTGACTCCAACGACCACAACGACTGTCGTTCCAACAGCCAGGAGCACTAACAAACCAAGTGGTATTCATTACCTTGATAATGACCCCCCTGGAGGTTGAATGGCTGGGATTCAATGCCCGTCAACGGAAAACGTCTTCAAGTATCTTCAACCGGTCCAGTTTCCCTTGATTTTAACCGTCCTTGAATTTTATGCTAAACATTTATCCTAAAAGCAACAACAATGCAGTGGAGTAAAGAGTACAATATTTCATTCTGAAAGTAACTCTAACCGCCTCTTCTAAATTATTTTATCACATTGTTTCACAACTCAATCTGGGGTCGGCAATTTCTTTTAGAAGCATATTTTGTCATGTTGGTTGAAATTCTCTTTACATCCTGACAGCTTTCAATAAATCAAATGCTCAACAAAAAATGAAAAACATCTGGTTTGTGCGGCTGTCGCACGACTCTGATAAGCACGGCCAGGAATGCAGTGGAGCAGGAAGCTGCCTTTTCTGACTTGCAGACCTTTACGTTAAATCAGAATCAGAATACTTTATCAATCCCCAATTAACATGTCGGTCACGTGTCTTTCATTAAGTCATGACAGCAATCGTACAGGTTGGACCTGTAACACAACACAAGCCTAAAGTGATTAATGTAAATGCTCATTAAACATGCAGAGAGAAAGAGAGAGAGTTTTCTAGGATCACTGTAAAACTTTTGTCATCTCACGCACACAGAAACAAAATCAGTTCTTCTCAGATCAGTCTAAAAATACTTTTCTTCTTATTTTACATACAGAGGAGTCCCTATTTAACTTCCTGTCATGAAATGTACGTCCGAAATGATAAAACAGGCAGAACTGGATCTCTAATAACGTTGAATGCTGAATTTGAAGTGAAAGTGTATAAGTGGATTCATTAAGAGAAGCGGCTATTGCTAAATATCACAAAGCACTGTGTCTTTTTAGATAGCCTGTCATGTCTAAATGAAGTGAAAAACAGTAATGTAGACAAAAAGCCATGACTTTATAGATAGATGGAGAAGAAATGTGACGTACTGCAGGACTGAAAAGGGCTTCCTAAAGTCGAATACTTATATAGGAAAGTCTCCACAAGACAGATTTTTAAAATTGTCAAAGTCAAAGCAGCAGAAGCTGAGATGTCCTGATTTCTAGTCCCTAATACGCCCCCTAAAAACTGATCCTATATTTCCCATAATGCAACCAAAAGCGTATTTCCTTCTTCCTGCCTGTTCAATGGTCACATTTTTCAACCACAGCTTTAGTTTGTAACGTATTCCTTCTGATGTAACTTTGTATAGTCTCTAAGCACAAACTGAGATGCCCCTGATGACATCACTGTGACATCATCAGGGTCATTCCACTGAGCTCCTCCACGGCCACAGAGCAGAAGACATACAAAGGTTTACCATTTGTTAAACAGGTGGAGTGCTCCTTAAAGTTTTGACATCTTCATTGCATCATGAACAGTACAGAACTAATAATTATGCAGTGATGGAAAAAGTACTCGGATATTTTACTTAAATGTAGCAATAGTACAGAGAAGAAATACTCTGTCACAAGTAAAAGTCCCGCATTCAAAATGTAATTACTAATAAAAGAACAAAAGTATGAGCATTAAAATACTTTTACAGTAACAAAAGTGTATTTCAGAATAATACAGTAGCATCAAATAGAAATACTCATGTAAAGGAAAATACAAGTACCTCAAAATTGTACTCTAGTAAGGCTACATATGCACACATACCATCATCAGGAAGCTGACAGATGAGAGGCGGGGCGGATGATGGGAACAATTGTTTACAGAGACTCGGAGGAGCCGTTTATGGCCGCACAGGGAGGAGAAAGGAGTTGAGAGTAGATAACGAGGAGTTAAACCTGGAGAACTAGTTTCCCTGACGCAGACGGAGGCTGTGTGTGTGTGTGTGTGTGTGTGTGCTTGTGTGACCGGAGGGATAGCCTACTAAATCGGAGGGAGCACACGGAGGAGGAGGACCAACATTTTAGGACTCTTTGGCAAGCTGCGACTTGCCTGCATACCGACTGACCATCATCACACAGCCACGGAGCAGAGGCAGGCACACACAGTCTGTCCGTCCAAGCTGCATGCACACAAACACACACTCATAACACACACACGATCCGCCAGGAATAGATTTGCACCATGAACGGAGCGACGATTACGCAAGACCGGGCTGAGCCGCAGGGGGGCGCGGGGAGGACGCTCCGGTTCCAGCGGCCGCACGGTGAGTGACGACACACACACACACACACACACACACACACACACACAGCTGATTGCGGTGCATGCAGGTTATCAAAGCAGTAACTCAATTGCGTAATACAAACATGTACGTGCCCGCAGGATCGCACACACACACCTCATCTTATTTTCATTCATTAGTGTAACACCGTGAGAGAGGGGCTGTGTGCGCGTGCGTGGCCCAATGACGCCAAAATACATTAGCTTTTATTGCACAGAGCGCGTGGTTATCGTCACCGCCCCTCCAACGGGACTGGAGCTGAATAAAAACAAAAAACAAATACAATAACATCATTCAGCCACATGCGCGCTCACACCCCAGCTGCACAACTCGCGCACAAATGCACCATTATGTAAGTGGTAGCCTATGATATTTTTGGAGCCGTCTAACATATAGGACACCGTGTCCTGCTGGTGGCCTCCCCAACACCACCCCGCTCCCCCCTGGCCCGCAGAGCGGAGGTGGTGTGGGAGGTAGAGGGGTCTGCCGGGGGCAAGGAGTGGACTACAGAGCAGAGAGTGTAGCTGCACGCTGAAAGAGGCTGGCGGGGTTGTCAGGCGTGTATTTTGAAGGGGGTGGGGGTCGTAAGATCAGGAGCCAACCACGTGTTTTCTGAGTCTCTGCTTGAAAAAAAGAAATGGAGTCCAAGAAGCAGAGGGTGCCACATGTGCGGCGGCTGCTGCGCGTGCGACGCGAGAGCACAGGTGAGGTTTGAATCGGCAGCTTGAAGAGCAGAGAGATGAATAACCTGCTGTCAATCTATCTCTCTCACACACACACACACACACACCTCCCCAAACACACTCACTGCATGAAATGCTGCATGAGATGACTCAGTGATTAAACATTTTTCCTGAGACATAAGGCTCTGTGAACTCTGGTTAATGGGAGGTGACAGCAGTAAGAAGTAATCACATGCTTTATGGAAGTAGAAGTACTGCAGTGTAAAGACAAAGTCCTGCATTGGCACTTTTGACATTCATTTGAGTCCCTCAAAAACTATATCCATGTTGGTTGTCATACGGTTCTCACATACATTAGAATATATTCTTTATATTAGATCAGTTTTTAAAAATATGGCATATTGGTATAGATTAAATTATCCAGTATACAGTAACAGTAGATAAAGAGGTTTAAATTAGCTATAAAAAAGTTAAACTACTTAAATGCTATTAATACATTATTATTAATAATAATTATAGGCCTATATAATTATAGTATATAGGCCTATTATACATGTCAGACATGTATTAAAACTAGAATGGTCACAATCGAAGCAGCAGAGGTCGAAGATGTCTTGACTTTTAGTCTCTAGTCTTGGTCATAAACACTGAATCCTACATTTCCCATAATGCAACTCACTAGCAACTTTAATCAGCCGCCTAAATGTCCACACCGTTCAAATCCCACACTTCCGGTTTGTACTGCTTTTCTGTGATGTTTTAAGGTAAAACATTTTTTTAAAGCCCAGGTAGAGATAACCCTGTTGACATATGACATAATCATGGTTGTTCTTTTAAAGTTCAAATTACACATTATACATAATATATACTTTTGATATATTAAGGTAGTTTTACTTGTTATACTTCTGTACTTTTACTATCAAAGCCTTTGTCTACAGCTACTTTTAATTGTAATGGAGGACTGTATATTTACATTGCAAGTCAAAGTCCTGCATCAAATCAGTTTAACCAGGTAAAAGAACAGAAGTATATATATCAGTACATATCAGCGAAATGTAAGTATCACAATAAGTAACGAGTACTTGTGGCCTCCATATATTATAATAATGCATTTTAACCTCTAAACAGCATTTTAATGTAAGTAGTTGGTTGGAATGCAGCTCAGTTTTTTAAGATGGTTTGTCTTGAATGAAATGTTTAATCTGAAAAGTAGCTGTAGATGTTAGTTCAGTCTAGCAGTGCAATATTTCCCTCTGGGATGTACTGGTGTAAAAGAATAAAGTAGTGTTAAATGGAACAAGTACTTCAAAATGTACAAAAAGTACAGTACATGAATAAATGTACTTAGTTAACTTGCACCACTGGGTCACGAGCTAATGACTTTAACAGATGTTTGTCTTCACATATATCTGTTTACATCCCTGGTGGCCAAACATGCACCACATTAACATCAAGTGTTACTCATCTGCTCCCACACACACACACACACACACACTCTATGGGCTTGTTTATGACATTACAGTAGCCATCCGTTAAAGTCACAACCGAGCTGCTCAGCATTGATGTTCCTGGTCTGTGACGCTACGCCACTTCCTGTGTGCTTCAGATTTTAGATTTGCCCTTTTTTTTGGCGGATGACCTAATTCAGGGCTTTACTGGGACGTTCATGTGAATGACATGTAGTCCCACCAATCGGGACCAAACAGGTGTGCTGACGACTCAAATCTCCTCCCCTACTGACATCCTGTGAGAAAGTTCAAAATGTGTGTGCACCTGGAGAGCTCCTCTCTTTACTTTTCATCCTCCTGTCAAACACACACACACATAGAGACAGTACAGAGGCAGATACACAAACTCACTTGGCTGTTGAAGTCATGTCAGAGACACAAAGAGCGCTCACACAAAATCCTCTGGAGAAGATCTGGGTCCCATGGATGAAAAGCAGACTGAGCCAACGCAGAGGCTGTGAGTACACACCCACACATACACACACGCCGATCCTGCATTGTTTGCCTTTGTTTCATGTCACTCGAGTTTGACAAGTTAATACTTGTGCACTCACAGAGGTGTCAGACAGTTTTTGAGAGCAGAGCAACTTCACTTGTGAAGCTGGGTTCAGAGGAGCACAGGGTCCCTCTCTGGGAGAGACCGCAGGGCCGTTCACCCCACAGGTTCTCTCTGAGAGCATGTGTACGCTCTTTCATCAGGCTAATGTGACAATCCCTTTCAATCCCCCTACTTTCACACGATTAATTACCAGGTTTGAGACTGATGATTGATTCAAATCTGATTTTTGATTCTATCTAAAATTAAAAGATTGTTAAAACTGACGCATCAATGTTAGAACAGCATTTTACTGTTGTAGCTGCTCGAGGAGGAGCTAGTTTTAACTTCTTTATATACAGTTAGTTACACAGGTAGTTTAGTCCAAGGGTCCTTTCATGAAAGGAAAAAAGAAAAAAACAAGTTCAGTTTTTGTACTAATTTTAGATTTTTTGTGAAATATTTGCAGACCTTTTCCTTTTTGGCCTCAAAAACCATGTCAGAAGTTTACAGGGGAAATGTGTTTTTGGTGGAAACGCTAACAAATTAAATACATTTTATTTAATAAGAGCTAACAAGACAAAAAGGTTGAAAACTTTTTGTTTTAAGTGGTTTATTGCGTTTTCAAATGTACAACCTAAATTTTAAAAGTAACAACAGCTGTCAGATAAATGTAGCACAGTAAAAAGCACAATAGTTCCCATGAGATGAAGTGGATTAAAAGTAGAAAGTAGCATTAAATGGAAACACAGTGAAGTACAAGTATGACAATATTGAGTAAATGTACTTTTTAACACTGGGTTAACTTTATTATCAAGAGAAAAAACTTGCAAATATGCATATTTGAGATGATAGAACCAATGCAGCTGATTAAAGAAAAAAATGGGATTTTAAACGAGTATTCGATTATCAAAGTATTTGTAGTTTAGATCAACTCATTGTTTCAACTCTAGATTCAGCTTATAGTCGTAAAAGTGTAAACATTTGCGCGTTTAAACATTTGTAAACTTTAATGGGGAAGTTATGCAATAACCCGAAGGGCTGAACAGACGAAATGAATATCCAGAGAAAAAGAAAACAAACAGAGCAGCCGGTTAGTTTTATGTCCCTTAGCATAAAACCCAAAGACTGTACAAAAAAAACAATTCACCATTTTACAGGGGATTATGTGCTCAACTGTTTCTTGCCTCAGAGCAGTTGCAGATATTATCCATCCCAGTCAAGAAATAGTTTGGCACAACCCCCCCCCCGAACTGTAAAATTGGTAATTTTATTAAAAAAATGTTGTTAATTAATGAGCTTCAGAGGTGCTGGTAGGCCCCCCTCCTTTCCAATCTTTGTCTTGTCTTGAAGCGCAGGTGTTTTAACTGTCTGTTGTTGTGTTTGTGTGCTTCAGCATCGGTGCCCCAGTTCACCAACTCCCCGACCATGATAGTGATGGTGGGACTCCCGGCGAGAGGGAAAACCTACATCTCCAAAAAGCTCACCAGATACCTGAACTGGATCGGCGTTACGACTAAAGGTATCACCTGACAGTACAGGATTACACCGAAACTCCGATTTCACAGGGACTCACGCTCACTACCTTCAACCATCATGTAATCACTCTTAACATTTGGTCTCCATGCTTCTTCTTCCCTATTTGTACTGCCTCACAATAAGTAGTGCAGATTCTGTCTGTTTGATTATGCAAAAACATTTGAAGTGGTTACACACACTAACACGAATAGCTATGGCTGGATATTTCTTTGCATTAAACTGTAAGATGTTCAACAGTATAATGCTAATTTATATATTTGTTACTTATATACTTATATTTGTTACACATATTTTACTGTTACAGCTGGACAAGTGGAAGTGTTCCTTTTATGTTGGATCTAATTGAAATTCTGCAGCATCCTAACATCTGTACTTCCATGAGAAAATGTCGGCATAAACTCTGCTGATTGATTTTCTGTTAAACTTCAGTTTCCTTGCACAATACATCCCAGATATTCCTAAAAATAGAAATAAAATAAGAAATAAATGATTCTAAAGAGAGTTTCTTAAACCTTGAATGAATCTGTGGTTACAGAAGAGGTTTCTGCAACATCATTTCTCTTTCTTTTACAGCGTTCAATGTCGGGCAGTATAGAAGAGATGCCACACGGTCCTACAAAAGCTTCGAGTTCTTCAGACCCGACAACACAGAGGCCATGAAGATACGCAAGTATGAACCTTCAGCTTCACGGAGTCTCACTGCCAACAGCGTGTGTGTCTTTGTCTCATCTCCTGGTTATAAAAACATCTTAAATTTATATGAAACAAGTAGGAAAGCGTCCGTGCGTGGGGGAGTGACTGTAATCCAAATCAGACTGTTTTTGAAATACTGCATAATTCATGTTTTTTTCTACTTCTGCGCACAGGGCCTGTGCCATCACTGCCCTCAAAGATGTGTGTGAGTACTTCACCAGAGAGCAGGGGCAGGTGGTGGTGAGTGAAACATTATGTTGCTATCCTTAAAGTGGATGTAATTATTTATTTTAGATAATTATTTTTATAATAACAATGTATTAATTGACGATGTTTCAACTTTACTGGTCTGGTTCACTCTCACCACTAAAATTATGTTATATGCTAGGGACTGTCTTGGTAGCTGAAGGGTTAGAGTGTGTGCGCATTGCTGCACAGTTGCAACCGTCACCAGTTTGATTCTAGCCGGCGACCTTTGTTCAATGCCATACTCCCCTCTCCTGTTTCCTATCTGCCTCTTTACGGTCTCTATCAAATAAAGACACAAAATGCCTGCCCAAAAAATAACGCTATATGCTGTGAAAGTGCAATGTCAATCATACTTGTCTAACAAATACAACTTTAATTGAGCTTTCATGATTTTAAAATGAACATTTTTATAGTAAGATTTATTTGGTCATACATGAAGTATTTATGTATCTTTCTAAATCTGAAGATTTTAGTTTGGACCTTACACCATTAAACCCTTTTCAGGTCTGAAGTCCAAATAGCACTGGTACATTTATTCACTAATGACTAATCTCATTTGTCTCTGTAAGGTTTTCGATGCCACCAACACCACCCCAGAGCGCAGAGAGGTCATCCTCAGCTTTGCCAAGGAAAACGGTTACAAGGTTTGTTGTTTTGCTTGCTCTGTTACAAATGGAAACCTGAAAAATCCAAATTCTGCTACAGTCTTTCTCGCTGTTTTCCCACCTGTCCAGGTCTTCTTTGTGGAGTCCATATGTGATGATCCAGAAATCATCGCTGAGAATATTAAAGTAAGTGAGAATATTAAAGTGTGTGTGTGTGTGTGTGTTGTAGTGAAGTTGTGGTTCCAAGATCACAGTGAGAGCTGTGCTTTGAGCCAAGAGCTGTTTTGAGCCAAGGCCCAGCGTGTTTCTTATTTGTTATTCGTGGAACAGGCTGAGCTGAGCACACCGTGGTCAGATTCTGTCAGGTCACGTGTGTCTTGGCAAGATCTGGTGTGACGTTTGTTCCAAAACGAGATAGTTTTCACATACGGAGAGCAGTTCTCCTGCTCTTATCCGTCTTTTACCTTCTCTGCCCTTATTTATTTCCAGTTCAGTTTAGCTCAGTCTGTGAGTTAGTCTGCTGTATATGCGGTTCATATCTTGTTTAATACCTCAAAAATCAAATCAGCATCTGTTATTTCCTCCAGTCTTGTCCTTTAGACATCCACGCTAAGCCATCTAAATTTTAAAAACACACGTTTCCATGTTGTTTGAAGCGGTCTGAACAAGTTACGTTACGGTCGCAATGTCATCTGACAAAATTAACATAAATATGGGCTCATAACAACAGCTGTGTGATCTGATATATCGACGTTTAAAATTATTACAGAAAGAGTTTGAGGCGACAGAAAGTCCTTCTTAACTTTACCACACTACCCTCACTGAGCTTATGTTATTGTTTTGCAAAATTTCTGTTTAGCATTAAAGATTTTTACACTCTAAGATGACACTGAGAGAAAAATATGCGTTTACAATTTAAAAAGCTTTTTGTGGATGGACTTTTTCTTGTTTTACTAAGTTCATATTTTAAGAGTCCTTCTAGGTAGATGCTTTAGACTCTGCATAAAGTGCAAGAAAACCTTTCCTCAGCACGAACGAAACAGACATAAAGTTGAAATTAAATCAGTTTTAACACAGGGTATTCTGAATCGAGCAATAAATAAGTGCAAACCTGATGGATGAAAGAATATGAAAACAAAACAGGTCTTTAATGAGGTCCACTGTGTCCCCTAAAGCCTGTTAGACATAAGGTGAGGACGTGTACTGTGGTTTTATGTCTCTCAAACCCTTTAAACTCTCTCTTTATCAAAACAGCAAGTGAAGCTGAGCAGCCCCGACTATGCCGACTGTGACAAAGAGGAGGCTGTGGCTGACTTCCTGAAGAGGATCGAATGTTACAAGTTGACCTACGTCCCACTGGATGACAACAAGGACAGGTGACAGCATCCAGCCCAGTGGTCCAACTTACATCCACACTGGATGATTCCCACCTCACGATTTTGATGTGCAGCGTGTCTGACTTTCATGCTGTAGACTGGATTTCGTGTCCCTTTACAGTCCTAAACGTTCACCTTTTTAGTAATGGTAATTGGATTAATAGTTCGGCATTATGGGAAATATGGCTATTTGCTTTCTTCCCGAGAATTAGCTGAGATGCCTGTCGTTATATAAAATTAATTAGAGGTGCTGATAGGTCACTCTGTGACCTTGGACTGTAGCAGGCTAGATGCTTCCCCTTGTTGTCAGTCTTTATGCTAAGCTAAGCTAACCAGCTTCTGGCTGTAGCTTAAATCCCTACACAGATGAAAGCGGTTTCCCAAAATGTGGAACTATTACTTGCGAAACTTGTGTAGTTGCCGGACTCTAACCATACCTTGCTCATAATTCATTATATTTATTTTACATAACCAAAGTCTTCTAGCAGCCACGACGGTCCGGAGCTGTTAAATTAAGCCAAATGCCCAAAACATGCAGTTCTTCTAATGGCCACTTGAGGCTGGCTCCAAAAGCGTGGCTCCAAAAGCGTGTCAGTCCCCACAGACCCCAGCAGAAATTACAGCCTGGCACAAAAACATTTTGGCCTTTAAAGTGAATTTCCCTCTTCGTAACAGTTGTGCAGGGGGTGATTTTGAAATAACTCACCCGTTTAAATTATATTAAAGCTTAACGTTTTGCATAATTAAGGACGCGGGCCCTCTGAGGGACAGGTGGGTGTCCTCTCAGGTGGCTAGCTGCAATATTCAAATTGAACCCTGTGATCTTCAGAGATAATACATGAAGATTGACGACAATGTGCCGCTGTTTGCCGCGTTTGTATACAATTATTTTCCGCCCTCTTTGTCTCTTTATGCAGGAACTTGTCCTACATAAAAATCTTCAACGTGGGCAGCAGATACCTGGTGAACCGGGTCCAGGACCACATTCAGAGCAGGATAGTCTACTACCTCATGAACATCCACGTCACACCAAGATCCATCTACCTGTGTCGCCACGGAGAGAGCGAACTCAACCTCGTGGGTCGCATCGGGGGAGACTCCGGGCTGTCGCCTCGCGGGGCAAAGGTTAGCAGTCTTTAGCGCTCGTGTGTGTGTGTGTGTGTGTGGATGTGGACTGCATATTATCATACATCCTGTTTCTATTCCTACATCTTCTCAGTTTGCCAGTGCTCTGGGTGAGTACATGCGTGGGCAGTGTATCACTGACCTGAAGGTGTGGACGAGCCACATGAAGAGGACCATCCAGACCGCAGAGGCTCTGGGAGTCCAGTATGAACAGTGGAAGGCCCTCAATGAGATAGACGCTGTGAGTGTTGAGAATGTGTGTGTATCCGTAGCATGTTTGTGTCTACAACATGTACGCCACTGTTCCCAGTATAAGTAATTGTACAAATATTTATACAGTACTGTTTTCTGCTCGTTTGTGTAGGAGGGGTTGAGAAGGTGACGGGTCAGAGTTTTGTGTGTGTTATTTAGACTTGCTCTGTTTTTCGGTGTTTGCTGCCTCAGGGGGTTTGTGAGGACATGACATATGAGGAGATTCAGGAGCATTACCCAGAGGAGTTTGCACTGAGGGACCAAGACAAGTATCGCTACCGTTACCCTAAAGGAGAGGTGAGGAAAGAGAGTGTACAGGAAAATGTTGTCCCTTTTCTCTTATGCTCTTTAACGTACGACACCAGTGATTTAGCTGAATTGCGTTTGTCAGTGTAAAAAGACTTAAGCTGAACTAAACCTGAACTCGAGCTGACACCAGGACAAACTTTGTCATTTGCACTTTATTTTTTAAAAGGTCAAAAAGCATCTGGAGTATTCACATGACTGTCCTGATGATCAAATAATTATCGGATTTAGTGGATTAGTTACTTTACTATTACTATTATTAATACAATATATAATCCACAAATAAATGATGTATTATTATGTATTATTATAAATAAGCTAAAGAAACCTCTACCAGTGGCAATATTAGCAACGGTTACACATTAATGCATCAATAAGTAATATAAAGTATATTATTCTGAAATTGGCCGTTTTTACTTTTGGTCAATTGTGGTATATTTTGATGCGAATACTTATGTGCTTTTTACTTAAGTAATATTTTTAATGCAGAGCTTTAACTTTTAAGGAATAGTCTTTTTACACTGTTGTATTGCTACTTTTACTTAAGTTAAAGATCTTCCACCACTGCTTTGGACATACTACAAAGAATCAAGAGGGACCACCTCTGCTTTATCAACGAATTGTTCCAAACATACTTCAAAACAGTTTTCTCTAAACTTTGTGCTATAAGATAAGACAGGAATTTGGACATGGGACCCTGAATCCTGCTAAAGTTTTTCCAGTTTAATGAGCCACATGATACTGAAGTGAGTAGTTTATGAAAAAAGGACAGAAAGAAAGATTCTAACTATTTTTCCAACACTGTAAACTAAGACAGTGACCGCTATGATAGTCATTACGGCTGCATAACATCAACATGTTAGCACTGTCATTATGAGCAGGTAAGCATAGCCAAACATAGATTAGCATTTAGCTCACTGCACTGATAAAGTTCTAATTGTTAATTAAAGAATTTTGATGAACTGATTTGTTTAAACACTAGTTTCTTGCTTTTTCAGTACTTATTTGTGTAAGGTTGAACGACGGTTGAACTGAACGTGTGGACATTATAACATACCTTCTCTCCGTTTGTCTGTCAACCAGTCGTATGAGGACCTTGTCCAGCGTCTGGAGCCGGTGATCATGGAGCTGGAGAGGCAGGAGAACGTATTAGTCATCTGTCACCAGGCTGTGATGAGATGTCTGCTGGCCTACTTTCTGGACAAGAGTGCTTGTAAGATTTACAGTAACACTTCTCAGGACTCACCACTTTCCACGTAGCATCCCACCTTTTTTAAATGATTACCTCCAAAATGAATGAGCCTCCCGAGATCCTGCAGAAAACTCAGAGAGGTTTACTGGATTTCTAGTGTTCTTGGTGTTAAAGGATACGTCTGGTGATATTTTGGATCCAACACTTACTACCAAGTCCTGTGTGTGTATCACAGCCTGATATTTCTTCTTCTTCCTCTGAGCTGTAGAGCTCCTAAGTTGTCCAAAAACTATTAAAACCCAGCTGTGAGCCTCACTGCTGCACCGGGTGACATGTTCCTTCATCACCATGAACACACACACAATAATTCACTGGAGCAATACATGACGATTCATCCACCACTAGAAATAGTCCCCAACAACTGCGTTTTCCTCCAGTTTGAGCGGTAAAAAACTACAGTGAGCATATTTGTGAGGTGTTTTAAAGGTTTACGTCTTCAGTAGGAACCAGTAAGCTTGAAGCTGAGTGACAGAATAACATGTCGAGCCATGGTGTTTTCATTGGATTTGTACTTTTTACAACTACATCTATATTATATCATGTGACTGTTCTTTCTCCCTGTGTGTCAGATGAGCTGCCCTACCTGAAGTGTCCTCTCCACACAGTTCTGAAACTCACCCCAGTCGCCTACGGTCAGTCTCTCTGTAAATAGCTCCCCCTTTAGGGTTCCCTCTGCTTCTTCCTTTAATTTCCTCATCTGTCATCAGCACCAGAACGCCCTAAAACTTTGCCTTTTCCTCTCTCAGGTTGTAAAGTGGAGTCTGTCTTCCTCAACATTGAAGCTGTTAACACACACAGGGACAAACCAGAGGTAAATGTAATGTTTATTTTTCTTTTCTTTTTTTAAATATAGAGGAGGGCAGGTAGTTTTCCAAGATATGAGTCGTGGCCACAGAGCTCATATCATCAGCCACAACATGAACCACATATCATGGGGTTACAGCAGCCTGTATGTGGCCTGACAGGTGAAACCCAGGGCAAAAAAAAAAACCAAATAACTTTCAAGTAAAAGTCTCCTATGGAAAATTCTCTTAATTAATAGTACAGCAAAATGTACCTAAAGTAAATATACTTGCTTCAGAAAAATGTGTCCTTTGAGAGTTACGCATATATTTTACTGATGTATTAATGTGCAAATAGCATTTTACTTAGAACTACTTCTTAAACAAAGACATTTACATATGTTTGGATAGTTTCATTTTATAAGCTGACTACATGTCCGACTTTTTATTTTCTACAGTGTAAAAACAGTAAATTCCTGTTTTTACTCTGTAGCTCTTTAGGATTTGTTTAAAGCAAATACAAATATCTTGGTATCATAATCGATGACAAACTCACCTTTGAGCCACAATTTGACGCTGTTTGTAAAAAGAAATCACATCAACGCATGTTTTTTCATCGTAAACTTCGCAGTGTCAGTGTCGATAAGCCTTTTATGAGGATGTTTTATTGTTGTTTTATTAAAAAATATTCTTTCTTTTGCCCTTGTGAGCTGGCTTGGGTCCCTCACTCTTAAAAACAAAAACAGGCTGAAATATATAGCTAAGGTGCAGAAATCCTCTGACTGATTTAAATTCTTTATATGAGACAAGGACCCTTAAGACAGTCAGTCCTGACCAACCCAAGTCACCCCCTGAACAGCTGCTTCATTTTGTTGCCGTCTGGCCTAAATGCAGGACAAACAGACACAAAAATTATTTAGTTCCTGCTGCTATAGCCTGACTTAATAATTAAATGTGAAATGTGGAACTTTTATGTAGTATGTACCTAATTTCTTTCTTACTGATTGTGGTTGGTTGTTTGTATATGTGTTATTTATGTTACATCCTGCTGCTGCACAACGAATTGCCCCTCAGGGATAATAAAGACTCCTTGAACCTTAAATATAAAGTGCTTACAAATAAACATTTTTCATTATTAATCAAATTATATTGTGGATTAAAAAGTACAATATTGGCCTCTGAGATGTAGTGGAGTAGAGGTATAAAGTAGCAGAGAGTATAGTACTTGACTAAAGGTACTAAGTTACATTCCACCACTGCCATTTAACAGCTGTCCACAGGGGCACTTACAGTGATGTTAATTAGGCTAAAATCACTTTCATTCACAAACACAAAACACAAACAGAGAGTTTACAGTGGGCTCAAATTTACTGAGGTAGCGATGGCTTCTACAGCGGTGGCCCCGAAGTTTAATGAAGATCAATGTATCAACATTTTTATAAACTTGGTAGTAGGAGGACGGTGTTAACAGAGATGTTAGCAAGCAAACCAAAACTGAAACTGTTAAATATGTGGGTGAGGGGAAAAACATACAGTACACTGAGTTCACTGAAAAAAAAAAAATTAAAAACACACCGTGGCCTCAGATTTACAGCATGCATTTGTGTCTCTCTCAGAACGTGGACGTGAACAGAGAACCGGCAGAGGCGTTAGAGACGGTCCCAGAACACATCTAGAGGAGGAAACGCAACAGGGACCTGGATCATTTCCATCCACCCTCATGGAAAGTGGCCTTTTTTAAAATTTAATGAATCATACTGTTCATTGTTATTGTGGTCATTGTTGTGAAATAGACAAACTTTATCTGATATGTGAAAATGAGACATTTCACCTACAGCATTTCCACCGTAGATGCACTTTATAATGCAGGGCTCAGGTCAACTGTCTGTGATATAAAGAAGAGGAGTCCTTTACTGTGAAAAACTACTGAACACTGTCCAGAGGACCAGGATTACTGTGGGAATATTCTTGTATATTTCCTCTTCCCTTCTTGTACTATAAGTACTTGTACTCTTAACGTGAACTGGCATGTCGGTTTGAGCCATTTGCAATCTTCCTCCACATTCAGAGGTATATTATGAGAATCAGATGACTGGTAAGAAGGTATTATTTCTGAGAGGCTGTGGTTTTGTTACTCGTAGTCACAGCGGTATGAAGAGGAGAAAAGAGTTTTCACAGTGTTGACTAAAAGCTGAAGGAGACTTTAGGGAATATTTTGACATTTTGAGAAATTTGCTTTCTTGCCGAGTTAGATGAGTCAATACCAATATCAATACCACACTGGTGTCTAAATATGACGTGACAGAGATATGACAATTAGCTTAGCATAGCATAATGACTGGTAATCGGGGCAACAGCTAGCCTGGCTCTGAGAAATCTAACAAAAATCTTCCTACCAGCATCTCGAAAGCTCAATAGTTAACACCTTATATCTTGTTGGCTTTATCCATGCAAAAAAAACAACCTCATATGCACAACAAGACTCAAAAATATAGCATTGAATTTTAAAGTAAAACAAATGTAGTTAAGTTTACATTCACACATGTTGCGTATCCTTCCACCTTCCTTGTTTTAAATTGAGAATTGTTTACATCCGTGTTAACTAGTTGCAGTCTTCTTCTACACTGACTTTGTGTTTCCTGGTGCCACCAACTGTCAATCAGGAGAAGAGCGTGAAACCAACAGAACGATGTGAATCGTAAAAACATCGCTCCAAAGTGTTACTAGTGGTCACACTCCACAGGACCACCTTTTTTAATTAGCTTCACCTAGAAAGTAAAATTTCCTCAGGAGACCCTTGTTTCAATAAAGGACACGATAGTGTAAATAAATTCATGTACTTCTTTCCTCGTGTCTCTAGATTTGGTCTCTAGTCAGAAAACATGTGTTTGTAAACACAGTTTCAGCTCTTACTGGAGTCTGCACTGGTTGCTTGACTCCAGGAAGTCACCGCTTCCTTGGTAGATGTTGTTAACCTTTGGACAGACCCGAGCTAGCGGTTTTCCTTTGTTTCCAGTCTTTATGCTAAGCTGAGCTAACCGCCTGCTGGCCCCAGCTTCGTATTTACCATACAGAGACTCGGGTGGCATCAATCTTCTCATCTAACTCCCTGCAAGAAAGTGAATAAGTGAAGTGTCGAACTATTCCTTAAACTTAAACTGGCCTGTAAGTTCGAGTCATTTTGTGTCATGTCTAAATTCACAGAGGAACATCATACAAGTATCCAAATTACTCTGGTAAATGGCTTTTGGGTGGAGGTGGTGGTGTAACTTGTTGCAGTGGACATGTCACGGTGTTGTACGTTGGTATAAATGCTGAATGAAACTAGAAGGGACATTTGGCACTTTAACTGCCCAATACCATGATGTGCCTCACACAAGTCAAATCTACATGAGTACTCTATGCACCCTCCATACAGACTGGAGGCAGATGCAGGCCTTGTACTCTGTGTGTGTACTGTACTATGTTTTTAACGAACACACCTGAGGGGATCTGGTGCAAACGTGTTTTATTTAAAATTTGGAACTATTTTACAGATGACTGATGGCTGTTTGTTAAACCTTGGTGAACTACATTATGTTCATGGTCTTCATGATCAGTTTAGTGCAGCTGTGTAGTGATCAGGGTTACTTGGGTCTTAAGTCAGGATCTGGGGCCTCTTTGGTTTACCTGGCTTTACTGAATCCAACATCAGGGAACCTGGAATAACTGGTATCACGAAGCTGCTTCTCAGCAAACTCTGTCAAACACTCAGAAAGTGATAATCACCAATATACAAAACAATTAATCGCACAGCTTGAAGAGAATAAGATGCTGTAAAAACATTCAGAAATAATATCCAAATATTAAAAGTAGTGCTAAAGCTCCTAATGTGGGAAAAGTCGTAGCCTAAATGCCAACGTAAAACCAACAAAAAAGTGATTCTGCTGCCAGACATCTGACCAAAATGTTGCACTTATAATTGATTGGGAACTAATTCACCTGTGGATTTTATTTTCTGATAAAAGTTAACCGAGGGTATACTTTTATTTCCAGTTATCATCATAAAGTCGTCTTTTTAGTCCTGAGCTGCAATGATTTTAAAAAGTTGGTTATAACATATAGTTTGGTGAATTATGCCTCAGCTGTTTTAAACTAAAACAGACACATGTAAGCTCTTTCCCTTTTGTTTTAGATAGGATCCCATAGGAGTAATTATGCTTTATTTTTGCCAATGATACTACTGATATCAGCCCGATACAGACTCAAATAGCTGGATCCGGTATCAGTGACGAGATGGTCAATCTATTCAATTACACGTGTACTACACAATGTGTCAGCAGTGGGCACAATGACCCAAACATTTTGCTAGGAGAGCCACATAGCATTTTGTTTTACAAAGTTAGGAAGCAATGTCAAGCGTGATGTTGCCTTATACATAAAATATTGATTTCCAGTCTCGTCCTCACAGTGAGGATTACATCTTCTTCATCTTCTTTACACTTGTATGAGATCGGTACTCAGCATCAGCCGATACCCAAAGTCCAGGTATTGTATCGGGACTGAAAAAGTCAGATTGGTGCATCCCTACTGACTGGTCAGTAGTCGAGCTCTTGACAGCTTATGATTTTTTCCTCTGAAGTTAAACTTCTGGGGAGCTGATTAGCCCTGCAGCATAAGTTAGCATCATTAGTGATCTGTCGCAAAAAAAAAAAAAAAAAAAAACATAATTAAAAAAGTGAACCAGCTTCATGGTACCAGAAAACCCGAGTTAAACCCAAAGATCGCCGGCTAACCTACAAATCTCGCTTTCTGATGCAGGATCCTGCTGTTCTGCTTCTCAAAAGCAGTAGTATTCAATTCAACAGTTACTTTGGGTCACCTGGGGGAGCAATAGCAAATACAATTTTCTCAGGAGAACTTTATTTAATGAAAATAAAAAGGGATGCCAGCACACGTCAGTGTAAATAAATGCATGTTTGTCTTCCAACACAATGTGACGAGTGTCAGAAAACTAGAATCTAAAATATCAAGTCGTCCCTTTAAAGCACATGTTCAGCTGTTACGGTCAGTGGCAGCAAATGCAGTGTCAAATCAGTACACTTGTGCTTTTCAAACTGTATCTAAAGGTCACAGCTTTGTCATTATGCGTTTCTCTATGTACATGTGCAATTGTGCCTGTGTGTCCTGAGCTCTGTAATATGTAGCAACTAGGACGTCAAGTAGGTCCGTAAACAGGACTGTCTTCTTGTGGAACAGCAACAAAAAGTCAATCAATGCAATCACTCATGTTGAATCTGTTATAAAAGATTTTATTTTCAAGTCCAGGCAATACAATAAAAATGGATATCTGACAAGTGTGTGTGATATTAAATTATTTTCTCTTTAAAAAGACTACAATCTCAGACTTAACAGACTAACTGCTAACAAAGTATGAACATACAAATATGTATAATAATGAGGATTTGAATTGAGAGTTTAAACTGACTCCCTGGATTTATATGTCTCGTATTGCAACTGTAGATTTGTCTGTCTTCACTATGAAAACAAAAACGTAGCTTCTCTCCTAAAATAAATAAGAAGGTCATCTCTGGGTGCTGCCGGCCTGTGTTGGGTTGGATTGGTGGGCCTCTCTGTATTGCTGCCTCCAACTCTGTGGATCCTGTTCATGGAGCTGAGATCAAACACCAAATCTTCATTAGGTCCAAATATCCAGTTCACTGACTAACAACAAATAATTACTTCACTTATAGTTACTTACTTCACCCATGAACTCGAGGATTTTGGCTTTTGACACTTCAATTTCAGCACGTTGACCCCATCTGAATTCATGCTCAACTGGCTCTGTGTGAGGGATTCGCACATATTCCAAGTACCTACACGCACACACAAACAATAAGCATATCATTTGTAGCCTAGTTCTGCACATTCATGAACAAGTGAATGAACTGCTGAAAGGCACTAAAAACTGCGTACACACCTGTGCCAGATTCAAAGTGTAAACTGATGAAATATGATGCGGGAAGTCAAGTTTGAGCAAAAGTCCCAGGTATCAGGTGCCAAAAACACATCACAGTGCTTCATAGTAGTCAGAGAGGATTTTACAACTGCAGAAGGTTTTCACAGCGCCGACTATTTAATCTTTCCTCACGTGTTCACGTTACCAAGAAATCTAGCAGGGATGTCCACCTGCACGTATTTATATACCTGATGACTTCCCGTCACGTTGCAAGCAAGACTGAAGTGGCTCTGAACACGGCCCAACAGTCCTTACAGTAAAGCTTTGCAGTTTGTGCACAACGGTATACACTGGCTTCTTGTTTCCAAACGATCCAGGATGCTTGCGCAGCAGTGTGTGTGTGTGTGTGTGTGTGTGTGTGTGTGTGTGTGTGTGTGTGGTGGTTTATTAGCTTTACAAAAACTATCCACAACCGTCTAAAATAGTTTTCTTTTCGTACACTGAACTAAAAGGGAGGTGTCCTTGTGAACTATTTTCCACCCACATCGCAGTTTAATAGGGGTGGCAGGGGGGAAATCGATGCAGCAAACTAACGCAGTATTTTCCATGGCAATATTGTGTCAATACATGAACGTCAAGTATCAATCTTTTCTTATATATATATATATATATATATATATATATATATATGTACATGAGAATTTATACTATAAATAATAAAATCAGTTCCTTTTTCAGTCCACTAGAAAAAGAGTTTTCCTTTGGGGACACAATTTGAAGTTGGGAAAAAAAAAAAAAGAGTAATAAATTGCAATATATCGCAATATGTTTAAAATCGCGATAATATTGTATCGTCACATGATTATTGTGACCTCTGGTGATTCCCACCCCCACAGCTTAAAGCATAAAAACAACTCCACATGTTGATGCGCCCACAAGCAAACAAACTTGAGTTGAATTGAAAAGCAGCGTGTAATCTCTCTGTTGTATTTAAATCACTTAAAATAGAAAGTACTATCATTTCAAATGTTAGCCAGCGGTTTGACGGGACAACAATAACACAATGTTGGCACACAAAACGCAGTCATAATGTTGGAGTTAGTGCTGGTCCAGCCACAGCTGTAGTGGTCTGGCTTCTTTCACTCTCCTGCTGCTCTGTGGTGTGGTATAAACCAGAGTCTATGGTCTGACAGACACTGGCTCTGAACACACCAGTACAATGTGATACAGGGATCCTAGCAGGGCTTGAACCCATGACCCTGTGATCACAAACACACTGGATTAGATGAGTGAGCTATCATCCAGTTTAATGCTTCAAATTCACACTTTAGGGGTGGGGGTGCGTTTACAGGTAACAGGATTCCTTAAACTTCATGTAAATGAGAAATCTGGTTCTCGTAATCAGAGGAGATTACAGAAACCTGATTTTAGGAATCCACAAGAAACAAGGATAGTCGGAGAACATGTCTGCATGTACTGAAGTTACCTGGTTACATGCAGCAGGTCAGTGACCCTAATTTGGAAGCAAGACTCACATATTTAACTGCAGAGGTCAGACAGAGCACAGCTTTTCATCACACCGCAAATGTGTCTGAATTTTACAGTTAAATGTTTAGCGGTGGGAACCAACAAAGAAGATAATGCTTCCAAAATGTCAATGACATTTAAAATATGGTAGGTAACAAAATTAAATAAAATGGTCATACGCAGACTGTAAATATGTAAGCTGGTTCTTTGCGTGCGTGTAAACAAAGCTAATGAGAGTGAAGGTCTTCCTCAAGTGTTCCTCCTTACCTTTGACGCACAAACTCGTCCGTGACCACTTTCTTCACGTCACCAAACTCTTCATGTTTCTCTCTGGAGAGATTTTCGATCGTCGCAATAAACAGAAATAAAAGACAGCATTTAAAGTCATGAATAAGTCGAGTCATAAATTATCAGACTACACACATACAGATTAGAGCCCGAACGAAATGGGATTTTAATGGATTGATATTTTATTTTACAATCCGATATATCAGCCAATATTCTTTTTCTAAACAAACATTATCCCTAACATTTATGCAGTGTAAAAATAAACTTTTTTATTGTCATAAATAGCACTTTGAACAAAAATACAGTTGCAGAGCGCCCTGTGGTGGTCAAACTCTGCAATAACATACGTACATTACGTTTATTCATTTAGCTGACGCTTTTATCCAAAGCGACTTACAATTGCTATACATGTCAGAGGTCGCACGCCTCAGAGACACAATAGTGGATGTCACAGTGGGAATCAAACCCGGGTCTCTCACACTAAATGCATGCGTCTTATCCACTGCGCGATCCCCGCCCTGTATAATAACACTCAGAACATGACGTATCCCATCTCTCCATTTCTGTTTACATTGTCATTTATCAGCTTTTATAACAACCGATAAAGATTAATCTGCAATTAGCTCAGATCTACCCATAAAATCGGCACACTGATTTATCAGTCGACTCTAATAAAGATGTATTAAACATATCTTTCCTTACCCGGGATCAACACGGAGTTTCTTGAGAGTATTCCAGATGAGGTCTACAGCACAAAACACAAGCAGACATGTTTTCACTTGGTGTTGTTTGCACACACACAGTATTGCAATGAATGAATGCAATAGTTGGATGTTCTTACTTTCTCTGACAACGCCTCCTTTCATGAAAATGACACTCAGGATCACAAACAGAAGACCCATCTTTGGATTAGTGGGGTTACTACACACACACACACACACACACACACACACACAGAGGATTTTTAAGAATTGATGCAATAACAGAGATACAAACAGTAGGGATGCACAGAATGTTTGACAACCAAAATTAATCGGCCGAATATGGCAAAAACAAATTAAAAAACGCTTTCGGTTTTCGGCCTAACAAGCTGAATAAATTTTACTGAACAATTATGTTGACATGCCGAGAAATACGCACAAATGGCCGTTTGCAGACACAGAATTGTGCTGAATTGTCTCCTAGCACATCCACTCCCTCTGTGTCTGATTTCTTAGAAAAGGCAACAAACAGTCTGACCCGCTTTGAGTGTTTGTCACTCATTTCTGAGAAGGCGATTAAGCTAGCCGTACCTAAATTTGGAGTGCACACGTATTTAAGCCTTTACGGTAAATCCACTGAAACGGAGCAGAGCGAGCTGACAGGCAGGTTAGTAATTTAGTTACCCACCATACTCTCAGCAAATCCTGTGGGAAACACGGAATAAAAAAGCGCATTTTGACTATTTAATTTATGCAAAGGTAAAAAAAATTTTTACAAAAACCTTGTTCGGTATTGGAGAAAGTTTTTCATTATATTCGGTTTTGGACAAGAATTTTCATTTCGGTGCATCCCTAGCAAAACATTTACAAATATAAATTTAAGGATGCTCACGTTATTGGTGAGGCTGCCTCAGCTGTCTCAAACCTATTGATCAGTATGTACATGTGATTTTTGGTGTCGATTTCGACCAGTTTAAGGCCAAATACCTGGTTAAAACAGTGGAAAACAACAACATTGTGACAGTTAGTAGTTCTAATGTGATATTTCTTTGACATGACAATGTTTAGTCCACTGATCCTCTCAGACTGAACAAACCGTCTCAAAAATGCGGGCTGCTCTCTTCATGATCTCAGGGTAGATGGTTCTGTACTCCTTCACCACGTGTTTCACAAGGTCTGAGAAGACATAGAAATGGTTTATTATACTGTTATTTTATATTGTCCCCTTTACACTGTGAAATTATGGCCTGTCCCAGACGATCGTTGTTCTACCATCAGTAATGGTGGTCTTACAAACACGTCCACCAATGGACGATTTAGAGGTTTGGCGAACAAAGAAGGTCAGAAACTTAGGACCAACATCACAAAAAGTGGCTGCTTCTACAACCTAGATTTCAAACCAATTAATCAACACTCTCCTGCTCTTGAGATTTGTAGATATACGTGCCAAATTATCGTTTTCAAAACACAAGCTGGATGACGCACGTTGATCACAGCTCTCTGCTTGCATCTGTTTTTTTCCTCAAAGTTTCATTGCAATATGATTTGTCACACAGTTTGACAGGTAATGAACTTGTTGTTGCAAGGTGTGTATATATGCGGCTGTACCTGCTCGCCGTATGGGAATCTTCTTTTGGTCCTTCACCAAGAAGTACTGCACAACCTCAGCTGTCTGCAGGACAGACAGGACAACATGTGTAAATAAATCATTAAGGAAAAGAAATGTAACTTTAAAGATCATTTAAAATAACACCCTGTGTGGATTTATGTACATCTATTACCTTTTGGTCGACCTGTGAAGGTGTGAGCTTCTCCAGCCCTCTCTGGACCTGTGACGTACTTGGCTGAGTGAAGGTTGTGTCTTCATCTTCTTCCTGAGCCGCTACAGTGCTCGGTTGCCTCTGCATGCAAAAACTTCAGCTGAAACCAGCGACAAATAGTCTAACACAAAACCACACTGTCACAATCATTCACAGAAAAGATGATAGCCCAGAGAGACAACTTAAATTAACTGTCCCTGAAAATATTATTATGCCTGGGGTTACGCTCAATACCTAAATGTAGGGCTGGATAATGATAATTATCTTGATATAATTTTCCTCAATAACAATATAACAAATGTTCAATAAATGTTTGATTTAATTCATTTGAATCATGAACTAATTAGCACTTAATTTTTTCTATGAAGAATTTTGTTTCACTGAGGTTAAGGGACAGAAAAAAAAGATTGTACTTAATTTTACTCATGAGTATTTGTTGAAAAAAGATTTTATCATAATTAATTTAAATGTTCTGTCTCAAGTGATCCACTGTTTGGCATCAATAGTGTTTTAGCCAAGACTTCCCAAACCGAGACCAAGACCAGTTCCACACATTACATGACACACAATAAAATGTGGAACGACATCACAGGTACTTCTCAAATTGATCAGAAAGATCCATAAAGCCATTAAAACACCCACATTAAAATACTCAGAGCTGAAATCAACGTGAGCATCTTTATTCCTTTTCCATGTTTACCATCACGGGGAGGGGTGACAGTCGTTAACAACACGTTTAATTAGGGTTACTGGTTGCATTTGAAGCAGTACGTTTTACATCCAATCAAAGTTAGGATGTTAACAAATAAATCAGACAATGCAAAAGGCATTTATGGATATTCCCAAAGTTATGGTCTTGAAATAAAATCCTGACCGACCGAGACAAGACCGAGTACAAATTCGGTCAGGTCCAAATCGAAACATCAAAACGTGGTCTCAAGTACTATCATGTGTTTGTTCTGACCATAAAGGAAACTTTCACTCAGGAGCTATAAAAAAAATCTGCCTTTAAACTTGAAAGAAATGTTGATTTGACTTATTTTTTTTAAATCCTGGTAACGTTTTTGATTTTATATCAAGCAGGTAGATTTTATATGAAAACATGTCTGGAGCAGATCTTCAAGGGAGTCATTTCAGAAATGAATAACCAGATAAACACATTAATTTACAGCTTCATGCCGTTACATTAATATTAAACAGTCGATTATGAACTTGTTTCCACACCTGTACTCGGCAGGGGTACACATGTTTACTGCTGAAAGAGGGCAGGGCTGTAAAACACTCAAAATGACATAAACAGATGCAACAAGGATCTAAAAGAAAGGCACTTACTCTGCTCTGAGAGGAGCTCTGTGTGTTGGACAGCCTCTTTCTCTGCGACATGTCGACACGCCGACTGATAAACACAGTAAAATACAAGCACGGTCAGGTCACTATGCTTTATGTGGATTAAAACAAACAAAACACAGCAACTTAAACATCTTTCCGCTGGCACGGCGGATAAGGAAGCGGCACAGCGAGGGCGGATGCTAAAGCAACGTTAGCTAGGTTAACCTGAGACCGTTAGCTAAGTTAGCTGCTAGAAAACAAACGTTTAACGTTTAATATTCGCAGTCTCTGTCTCAGCGGACCGCAATAATGCCACTCGAGTATTAAACAACCCGCCCTGTTAAAATTATTCACTCACTTTGCCTAAATGCAAACTTCTCAGCCGTTTCCAAGTTGTGCGAACTCCCGCTGGTGGGGTTTGAAGACGCCTGTTGATGACGTAAAACGGGCGCGCCCGCTGTTTATTTATTTATTTTGCTTTATTGAAACTTTCTAAGAAGTGACAGCCTTCGGGAATATGGAAGAAATATTAAAACAAACAAATAATTAAAGCCAATACATAATAATTTGAAACAAATAAAATAAATGAGTTCATAGAGTTCTTAACATCAACCAGTCTATTTAATCTTCTTCTGCATGTTTTTCAGGTAAAATAAAAATGTACATGCAATACAATGCAATTTAATCTGGATTTGTAGTGACAGTCAAATCACTTTAGCATTTAAGAAATGATGGTGATGAAATTGCCTTTTCTATAGGCCCATTAATGGCAGTGTAACAAAATGTTAACCTCTGCAATGTTGTTAATGTAGTTTAGTTTCATTGATAGGAATAATGTTGTACTTGTATCTTTACTGGAACGGACTCTGTGCTTTGCTGCGTCATCTCAATAAATCTTTTTAGAAATATATTAATTAATAATATTTAGTCATTTAGCTGATGCTTTTACCGAAAGCGACTCACAATTGCTGTATATGTCAGAGGTCGTACGCCTCTGGAATAACTAAGGGTTAACTGTCTTGCTCAGGGACTCGGAGAGTGTCGCAGTAGGACATATTTCTTATAACAAAAACATGTAGAGAAGGTGGATTTACTTTTTCTTCCCCTTAATAGCAGTGGTAGAAGTATTCAGATCCTATACTTATTTAAAAGTAGCATTACCAAAATTTGAACGTTGAAATTCTCTGTTACAAGTAAAAGTATCAAAATATACTAAAAGTAAAAGTACTAATTTGGCAGAACGTCCCATTTCAGAATAATAAACATTATGATTCTTTGTGCATTAATGTGTTCATCACTTTAATGTTGCAGCTAGTAAATATATGCTAGTTTTAATTTATATACTTTTTTTGTTTTAGATTCTGTTCTGTAGCTTGTGAATTTCGCTCCAGAGATCAATAAAGTCTTACTGAGATTATATAATCTATAATGTCTTTGTTGATTATATTTTGTTTTCTTAATCTGAAAGGAAACTGAAGTTATCAAATACATGTAGTGGAGTTGGTAGTTCGAATAAATATGTAGCTTAAGTATTACATATAATATGGCAGTTCTTTCTCTATTAATTGATTAATTGTAAAAATTCAGAAAATGTAAAAATAAAAAATTAATTGAAATAGCAAATTCACACACATTTGAGAAGCTGAAAACCTGAAATATTTTACATGAAAATAGAAGGTCAAAATAATATTGCCATGTTCTGTCAATCAATGAATCAGTTAATCCACTGCTTCAGCCAACTGATGGGTAGTTTCATTTGCAAAACATCATATTATGTAAGCTAAAGTATAACAAATATATGACATATAATATGATTAATATAATACATGTTAATTTGTCCAACAATTTTCAACTCAGGTGATAAAGTGCTTTACACTAATTAAAATCTGTATTACACACATTGGTGTGCAACGAATAAAAAAATCAATGAATGAATGCAATGAAAAAAATCAAGTCAATCAATCAAGTCAATGTACACTTAAATAAAAAGTAAATAATAAACATATTATATAAACAATAGTGTGAATGCTGGATCAGAATTTAACTTATTACCCACCTCATAGTGGTTTAAAGTCAATAATATTATTGTATCAATGAGTCTTAAGAAGTGAGAAAGATAAAAAGTACAAAGTGGCATGAAAAGAAAAAAGAGTAAAGTAAACTACTTGAGTAAATGTACTTAGTTACTTCCCACCACTGTTTATACATTTTAACTATTATAAAAAAGCCGAAATCACCGCCAGAGTTCGCTGTTTCTTAGTCTGAGTCGGTGGACGCAGTGTACTTTAGTGTGTATACAAACAATATAGAAGCACACACTCATACCCACGTCAAGTAGCAGCAGCAGAAATATAATTAAATATTAAATAGTATTTATAATATTAAGAGATGAGTTTAATATAGCAAAGAAGTAACTGTTACAGGAAAAGTTGCTTTCAGTTTCACGCAGCTCTCTGAAGGCGAAGTCCAGCGTCTCACTGTACGTGGCAGACAGACAGTCAGACAGACAGGCAGACAGGCTCGGTGTCAGACGGAGAGAGAGACAGGACAGCGGCGGGGTGAAGTGTACCGTGGTCCGGCTGTCTGTGCTGGCCATGCAGGGGAGAGGATGGGGGAAGACGCAAGAGTTTCTCCGCTCAAGAACTTCGTAGCTGGGGGGGTCGCCGGAGCCTGTCTGCTGCTGGCCGGACACCCGCTGGACACCATCAAGGTAAATGCTGTTCAACACGTGCTGTGAGATGATCTGCAGGCAATTCAGCAGTTTATTTTATTATAAGTTTATTTATATCTTGGAGGACATCACTTCATTTGTACTGTACCTACTATATATACTTCCTGTTTTGGGCTGTTTTGTAGAGTTTGTTCTGGCCTTTGAGAGATTCACACTGAGGGGAAAAGTCAGCTATCAGATGTACAGGAGGTGTTCAGGGGATTATCGATAAATCAGCTTAGAGTGTCACCAAGGCCATGAGGCAGCTACAAGACAGACACAGCAAAGGGATAGTAGTTTTAGAATAGGTTATAAGGGAGAACTTCAAATTACGGCTGCAATTGAAGAATATTTTATTTTTTATTGACGTTTATTTTTACGTTTTGTCCATCAAACGTCTGTAAACTTTGGGAAATGGCCTGTTAAAAATTTCTCGGAGGCCAAGATTATTCAAATGTATTAAAACAGTCCTAAACCCAAAGATATTCACTTAACATCCCAAAGAAAAGCAGCATCATCACATTTTATTTTCAGTTTCATTTTCTGTCAATCCACTAATTCATTAATCGACTAATGATTTTCAGCAGATTTAATAGCAGCAGTGTCACTTTGTCTCTTAAGAAAACACAAATCCAAACAAAATTAACTTACTTCATGACACAAATGAAAACATTTTAACATGATATGAAGTAATAAAAGTTGGACTCAGTATGTAAAATGTACACTCTTGTTCCCTTGATCATTTTCTTGATTCATTGACAGTACTTTTTATCCAGATCTCAAATGACCAAGATATTACTATAACATTATTATTGTTATTCACTATTACTTTCACTATTAATTTATATTCTCAATTAACAGATTATTTATTTATACCAGCAATACAATCACAGGAAATTGTGATAAATGTTCATCAAAATGTCCTAAATTCCAAAGTGACATCTTTAGATAGATAGTTAGTATTTAGTTTATAATTATATAAAATGGTGAAAAGCCTCAAATCCTCTTTTGTCTGAAAAATGACTGAAATGACTGTCCCACAATTCATCTCAAATAACACATTTCTTTATTCTTATCAAAACAAGTTAGTATCATTTCAGATTCAACGTTTACTTTTTGTCAGTTGTTATGCAGCTCTGACCCATTCAAAATTATTGCAGTTGTTTTTCACACTGTAAAAGAAAATATCTAGCAAAGCTTTATGTTTTAAGAGAGGTGAAGAGAAGGAACATTTCAGACGGTGGGAGGGGGGGTTATTGTGACGTCTTTCTATTCATAGCTAAACTTTCGGTGTCATTCCCCGTGCACTTTGCTGTTGTGTGTCTCTCACAATGACACAGTAAGAGGTGAATCCATCCCTCTGTATACATAGATAGTTCAATTTTTTCATCATTTTTGTTTTCATCATCATAATTTTAATTTGTCCAATAATTTAGTTTATGTGAAAATACATGCAAAACTAATCACATTCCCACGAGCCTCCACTGCAGTGGGGAAGTTGAGCTGACCTTAAGTTCCATGAATCTGATTCAGGTGACATAAACAAACAAAAGTGCTTTGATTCTAGCAAGACTATCTTGCTAACCCGAATTATTTGTGTACTTAAATCACCCGACTTCTTAATGATTGATAAAAATGAATGGTTGACAATCAATGATTTGGTGTAGTTTTTCAAAATGTTTCTGTCCAAACTCCCTTTTCAAATGTCAAAAAAAAGTTCATGCCAACCCACTAAACAGGTAAACAATATTGGGGGAGCAACAAATAAAAAAGATCCCATTTAAATTTGATTGCAATAAAAGAAATGATTCAGGTCAGCAGGACAGCAGCAGCAAAGTGTTGTGTATTTATTTCCCTACATAAAGCATGTTCATTCAACTTAATTCCACGCCGTCTTTTTCCCTTGGTCATCCATTCCCCCCTGCAGTAGTCATTTGCCCCCCACAGTTTGACAGCCACTGCACTAAACTAAGATGATGAACATGGTGAACATCAGGCTATAAGAATATTTATATTTATCCTTTATTTTGGAGGCTCAAACTGCTGTTGGTGTGTCATATTGATGTAGTGGAAAATAAAAGGTGGGTCACCTGTGAACCCACCAAAGGTCTATGAATAAACCAGATCGTTTTATATTATAGGTCTGTAATTTCTCAGTCATTTAGAGTTCTAGATAGAAGTATGTAATTTAGTATCAATCATAGGGGAAAATAGATACAGTATTCATTATGTGCACTTCCAATGATTAATGGCAAATAACTGTTAGCGTAACTTAGAGAGTCCTGCAGTCGGCAGGACATACTGTATTTCAGATATATCAGTTTTATTTAGTTCAGCTATAAAATGTCTCGTTCGGTACATCTTGGTCACAAAAAAAACTTAAGGGATTCTATAAAAATATTTATGTTTAATAAATACTATAAGCTGATATATCTTTTTCTGATTTATATAAATATTGACATCTGACTATAGCAAAAATGTCTGTCTGTCAACAGGCGAGCATGCAGTTCAACAAATATGAAGAGTAAAATTTCCAGTAATTACATCATTAATATTTACTTGGGTTTTTATTTCTCTAAAATAATTAAGAAAATATAGACCTGTAAAATAATTCCCTCAGCCTGAAGCCGCTTCATACATCAATACATCATTAAATCAGTGTATCAGCATTACACAATGCCCTGATGTTAAGCTAAAGATTGTGTATTTTATTGTAGAGTAATTGATCTAAATGCCTAACTGTGAGCATG